GCTTTGGATGCAGCGGCGAAGGGCCGCACGACGATCGCGGTTGCTCATCGATTGAGCACGATCCAGCGGGCGGACATGATCTATTTCCTCGATCAGGGAGAGGTAGTCGAGTGGGGCACGCACAAGGAACTGTTGCGTCGACGAGGAAGGTACTATGAGATGGTCAACTTGCAGAACTTGACCTGATGGGAGTGAGGTGTACGATAATGGGATAGGCGTTTGGATGATGGTTTCTTCAATGTACTGTACATATACCTCAAAATCATAGTCGACGATTGAAGCCGATAAGCGATAAGATAAGAAAGCACCGAACTCGGGACACGGACCCCTGCGTGTGGTCTAAACGGGAATAGTGCGGGGTACGGCTTACCTCATCATCTGGAGATGGTTTCAATCTTTTTCTGTCAGGAGATTGAAAGTATTCCCCGCCAACAGCCCCTGCAAATCCTCAAGTCACGCCAATTCACCTCGCCATGGCCCTCCCCGCTTACAAGACCTCCTTCCTGGAGTCCTCTATCTCCGCCAAGGTCCTGACCTTCGGCACTTTCACCCTCAAGTCGGGCCGTCGTACGCTTCCCCTCTCCGAGATACCACTATCGGCGACCCGTCCCTTGCTAATCGAGGATCCTAAATAGATTCCCCCTACTTCTTCAACGCCGGTACCTTCCACACGGCTTCGCTCCTCTCTGCCCTCTCAACCGCCTACGCCCACACCATCATCACCTTCCTCGCTGAGAACCCATCCATCCCCAAGCCCGACGTGATCTTCGGGTGAGTTGAACACCGCACAACCCATCCCCCAAACACAAACCACTCCGCCGCATATACCCACGTCTTCTTCTCTTGATCCCAACCTCTAACCCCCATCCCTTCCAAACAGCCCCGCATACAAAGGCATCCCACTCGCCTGCGCCACCCTCCTCGAGCTCCACCGCCTGCAGCCCGACGCCTGGGCCGAGGTGTCCTACAGCTACAACCGCAAGGAGAAGAAGGACCATGGCGAGGGCGGCAGCATCGTGGGCGCCGGCCTGAAGGGCAAGAACGTGCTGGTGATCGACGACGTGATCACCGCCGGCACGGCGATGCGCGAGACCCTCGACCTGGTCGCCCAGGAAGGCGGCAAGGTGGTCGGCTTCGCCGTCGCGCTGGACCGCCAGGAGAAGATGCCGGGTCCGAAGGACGCCAGCGGCGTGGAGGACGACGCGCCGCGCATGAGCGCCATGGGCCAGATCCGCAAGGAGTACGGCGTGCCCACCACGAGCATCGTCACCCTGGATGATCTGATCCGCTTGATGCAGGAGAAGGGCGCGGGCGAGGATATGCGCCGGTTGGAAGAGTACCGGGCCAAGTACCGGGCCAGCGATTAGGGGCGGCTGTCTTGGCTCACAAAGGTGATTCTGCAGAAGAAAAGTGGAGGGATGGCTTGGGAGGGAGTTTTGTCTATGGTTATGCTATAGCTTAGGGGATAGCATCAAGTTTTTCTTTTATCGGATCTTCGGTATGGATTGAACGGGATTGGTTTAAATCAAATCAACCGGTCCATGCTCTCAACCACTCGATTGGAAAAAATTACGGACCCTGCAGAGGTTTAAATGACGCATGTTTCAGGGGAATTTGTGTCGGGTTGAAATGCTTCGGAGATTTCTCGTTCTCCTTGAAGCTCGACTCGACAGCGTCGATGTTATCATATTGTTGTTCGGGGTTGGTCCGGAGAGAGCTCGGCACCGAACCATCGCCGAGTTTGCGCCCTTATCTTTGCCCATCGTCCCTTCCAGACTCTCATCGACATCTCTACTTACTTCATGAAAGAATGTACCACAACATATCGCGCAACTGTGGGCTTTGATCTTGCGTCATAGATTAGTATTCCTGGTTGGGCTAGTTGCAGCTTGCATGAGCAGAGTTTTCATGATCACAAATCTCTGCAGCTTACACGAGCTGGATGACAACACATCTCCGACCTAAAGCTATGCTCCCAAGGATTTCACATTTTGAGGCATTTGCATTCGATCTTCGCCGGCTACAGCTTCTTGAGCATTGTTGTCTTCATGTTTATGTGAGGATTCGTCATGAAGATCAGCTTGTTGCACAAACACAGCATCTGGTCGACGCGGCTGGGATCATTTGATCTGACCAAATCTCAGCGACAATTCCTGGCTCAGGGTCAATCTGATGCAAGATGCAACCCGAAGCCACGAAACAGGGACGATATAAGACCGAACCGGCTCTGAGTCACCCAGATGGCGTGTGTTGGCTCCAGGAACCGGGTAGAGTGTCGAACGGTTCAAGCTCGGTGCGTCTCGGTGATGGATCGGCGATGCGTCGGCCTCGCTGCGTGCCTGAACTATACGAATCCGACATCCAAAGATATAAATCAACTCCTTTCCTATACATAATCTGCTTGTCTCTCTTACAATAGCACACAGAAAGGCATCTCAACTCCACAGTCTACCAAAGCTCAAGCCAGCTCATTCCATACAATCATGGCACCACCTATGTCCGAGCCCCAACGGGCTATGAGCAATGCATCAGAACAACCACATCTTCTTCGCACAGAAACTCGAGAGTCCTTAACAAACCGCGGAATCTCGCCCAGCCCTCCGCCAGTCGACTACAACTATCCAGACGTCGGTCGGCCTGCCGACCCTGTGTTCCCGGAGGAATATACCATCGAGACCAGCACCGGCCTCGTTCCCAAGCGCACGCTCGAACAGATCCGCTCGCGTCAAGACCGGCAACCGTCGTCGAGCTCTTCCTCGGACCTCGAAAAGGCCGATGACCAGCCTACCGAGTTTGTCACCTTCACCATCAATGACCCCGAGAACCCTTACAACTGGTCCCGTGCCTATCGCTGGTACGTCACCATGGTCGCCTCCCTCCTCGTGGTCTGCGTCGCCTACGGTTCCGCAATCGTAACGGGCGGTCTGGGCCTTATCGAAGACAAGTACCACGTCTCTCTCGAAGTGGCCACCCTCACCTGCAGTATAATGGTCTGCGGCTTTGCTGTCGGTCCCCTTCTCTGGTCGCCCCTATCGGAGATTATCGGCCGGCGGCCGGTCTACATCATTTCCCTGGTGCTGTACACGATCTTCAACATCCCTTGCGCTCTGTCGCCCAACATCGGCGGACTGCTGGCATGCCGCTTCCTCTGCGGTGTCTTCTCCAGCTCCGGCCTCTCGCTTGCGGGCGGCACCATCGCGGACATCTGGTCCATCGAGGAGCGGGGCATGGCGATCGCCTTCTTCGCGGCAGCCCCGTACTGCGGCCCCGTGATCGGCCCCATCGTCTGCGGCTGGATCACGGTGGGCTCAGGCCGGCTGGATCTCTTCTTCTGGACCAACCTGGCCTTCGCGGGGGCCGTGGGCATCCTCGTCGGCCTCGTCCCGGAGACGTACGCGCCCGTGATCCTCAAGCGGCGCGCGGCGCGACTCCGCTCCGAGACGGGCAACCCGCACATCATCACGGAGCAGGAGCAGCACAAACCTTCCCTCAAGGAGATCGTGCGCACCTCGCTGATCCGCCCGATCACCATGATCCTCACCGAGCCCGTGCTCGACCTGATGTGCATGTACATCGTGCTGATCTACTCGATGCTGTACGCCTTCTTCTTCGCCTACCCGGTCATCTTCGGCAAGCTGTACGGCTACAACGACGGCCAGATCGGGCTGATGTTCATCCCGATCCTCATCGGCGCCGGCTTCTCGCTGATCTTCACGCCGCTGCTCGAGAAGCAATTCCACCAGATCTGCAGCCGCCGCGCCCCGACCCCGGAGGACCGGCTCATCGGCGCCCTCATCGGCGCGCCCTTCGTCCCCATCGCGCTGTTCATCCTCGGCGCCACCTCCTACAAGGGCATCATCTGGGTGGGGCCCGCCTCCTCCGGGATTGCCTTCGGGTTCGGCATGGTGCTCTGCTACTATGCCGTGAACAACTACATCATCGACAGCTACCAGAAGTATGCGGCGTCCGCGCTGGCGGCCAAGGTCTTCCTGCGGTCTGGCGGCGGTGCGGCGTTCCCGCTGTTCATCACGCAGATGTACGATCGTCTGGGGCTGCAGTGGGCGTCGTGGCTGCTGGCGTTCATTGGGGTGGGGATGGTGTTCATCCCTTACGTCTTCTACTGGTTTGGGGCGAGGTTGAGAGCCAAGCTCAATAAGAATTAGAGGGGAGAAACGAGGTGGGCGTCGCGTTTGCAGGATATATGGATACAAAGAGTGAAAATCCGGTCGGTCGGTGGGGGAGTATAGATAATGTACAGGATCAATAATGTTAATGGTATTTATGATAGAATAGATAGAGATTTAATTGCATGATTTTCGGTTAACACGCTTGTTTTGTTCACCCAAGCTCTCTGTCATTTTATGTGCAGTATTAACGGAGAAACTATGAGCTGGGGATTGATATTTGCATGAACTCACCTTGATGGGCGGGCAGGCAGGTTGTTCCGAGGGTACGGCTGGCACGCGGAGCTAGAACTGTGTAATCACCAAACCTAATTTTTCACTATGGCTTGGATGAGGCTGGAGGTCATCATTTCGACTATGAATCCTGGGTAGGTACTGTAGTGCAAGGGCAGATAAGCTATGGGACGATAACAACGGTCTGGCCAATGCGTGCTCGAGCGATAATGAGCTGATTTTGTCACCGAATGGTCAATCATGGATCCTCGCGGCTTGTGTGCTATTGTTGGATACTAAGGTAAGAGTGGGGGCCTTCCCCTCCCCAAATTCCCCAAATAGGCATGAGTAAGAATGAGTCATGCTGGCTCATCCGGGGTGGATTCCTTCTTCTCCGGCTCGGCGGGTGCGCTTTAGATGGGGGGCTCAGCCTGGCCTCATCTCGTCTCATCCTCCATCACTTCGACTCATGATGATGGATGGTAGGGAAATATTACCTTGTAGTCAGATATGTAGCTATAAGATTGTAGGTGAACCATGGTAGAGCGGTATAGACTATAATGATCAATGATATGCATCATGAGTGTACCTGGGTAAGTGTATCTATCTACTGTACTGTATCTCTACCCATTCTCGCACCATGAAGAAACCCCCCTACAGCTGACATGCTTCGCATTACTGAGGCGCTTGGAGAGAACACAATATAGGAAGAGCCTCTCCAAGGTTCCAGGGCCGACATCATCTGATTGCCTTTGTTGTTGCTTGTTTCGGAGATGTGATGTTGATGGGATACTGCTAATGAGGATGATAGGGGTTTTAGACACATTACCACTATGCTCTTCGATACATGAACAATGGCATAGATCTCTACTCCTTTCTCACTCTAAATTGCAGGACATACTAAGTACTGTTCGAAATCTGCAAGGCCGTGATATCACCACCATTATTCCTCGACAGATGCCATCGCCAACAGCCATATAGCTCACACCCAACTAAAATAACCCCGATAGAGCCCACCCCACCGCCCCACACTCATCTCCCAAAATGGAACCCGCCTCCCTAAACGGCCCATGATTTGATCCCCCGGCACCGACCGATAAGGTATAAGAATCCCCCCTCTCCCGCATTCTCCTCTCCTCCTCACCAACCCATCGCCTCGGCGAACAAGCTACCCCCCTTCTTTCTTCTCTCCCTCCGGTCTTCCGGGTCCGCGACCCGGGTCCTAAGTATACAAGGATGGCAGTCGCAGCAACCAACGCTACGCACGCCGTCAGGCAGCTCACCCCGGCCGACTACACGGCAGGGCAAACCGCTTAATCAATTTCACCATTCGCCCCAATACCCCGACTACTACAACTCCGACCTCCATCCCTATCCCGATCTCTCTCTCTTGCCTCCTGCAACGGCCTTCCCCCCCGTTGACTTTGACCCATTCTTCTTTGCGACCGATCCTCGCGATCAAACCTACTACCCCGATCTCACTACAACCACCACCACTACTACCCACAACCACCTGGACTTGAACTTCGACTTCGACTTCGACATCACCACCCTGGGCGACCTCGCAGACCCCGTTTCGGATTCCGCGATCAACTCGCTTCTCAGCTCCCCGGATAGCCTCAGTGAATCCTACCTCTTCGAATCGCCAAGCGTGCAGTCGCTACCTGGTACGTTCCCTGCCCTATCCCATCTCCGCATCAGCAAATCAAGCATACTAACTGCAGGACGATAGACCCGCAAATCCAAACCCCACCCCCAACTTCACAGCTACAGCAACAACCCCAGCAACAAATGCCCGCCGTGACGACGGACCACCCCTCGACCAAACCAACCTTCACCGTCACCCGGGTGGCAACCTCCACCAAAGAACCGCCCAGCAAGGTGAGCAAGCGGCAGCTGAACACGCTCGCGGCGCGGCGGTACCGACAGCGCAAGCTGGACCGGGTGAACGAGCTGGAGGCGGAGCTGGAGGCCGTGAAGCGGGAGCGGGACGAGCTGCGGATGCGCGTGAGCAAGCTGGAGGGGGAGACGGAGGCGTTGCGGGGGATGGTGGGGAAGAAGTAGGAGTAGTCTTATTCACATATTCACATCAAATAACTCATTAACAATCACATCCATCTATTTCCCTCTTTTTCCAACCCAATATCAACTAGATCCACCGCCCCTCCCCATCCCCATCCCCATCCCTTTCCAGAAGCAACATCTCCTTATCCACGCCATCCTCCACCACCAACCGCCAGCCGCCCGCGACCTGCTCCCCGCCCACCAACCGCACGGGAATCCTGCCCACCTCGTCCGCGGCCCACCCTTTCTCCGCCGCGCGCTCCGCGATCCCGCGGCCCCCGTTCGACGCCGCCGCCACCACCATCTTCATCTCCATGTAATCCCACCGCGGCAGACCCCGCCACAGCCGCGTGCGCCCCATCTCCGCCGCCACGGCCAGCAGCAGCGCCAGCGATGTCCCGAACACACAGACGATGTACGGGTGCGACCCGACGCGGAACGCCTCGACCGTCACCGTCGCCCGCGTCAGGCGCGTGAACCCGCCCACCATCAGCTGCGCCGACGCGTAGCCGGCCAGGATGTCGTCTATGAGCGAGATGTACACGTTCGTGATGCCGGCGAGGGCGATGGCATCTTCGGATATGGTGGTATTGGAGGTCACGGACGTGCGATAATCGGCGATACTGGTGTTGAAGGCGTCGCCCAGGGTGGAGCGGTAGAAGCTCGTCAGATCGTTGGAGATGAGTTCCAGCTGGCGCATGGCGACGTGGATGGTCTTGTTGGTGGGGTCGATGTCGGCTGTCGCGTTGCCTTCTCCCGAGGTTGTTGCTGCATCATCATCGCGCTTGGCTAGTCCTACAGCTGCAGCAGCTGCAGCAGCAACAGCAGCAGTGGTATCCGCAACAGCAGAACCATCCCCGGCCGCCGCCGCCGCCGCCGCCGCCGCCCGCCCAACCCGTATCTCCTTCGCGGCAACCCCAACCACCACCTCAAACCACTCCGGCTCAAACCCCACCACACACTGACTCGCATTCAACCCGACATAATACCCGCCCGCCGCGACAGCCACATACCGGTGGCGCGTGTACGCGACCGGCTGCGCCGCCACGCCCACCGCCACGATCGTCCGTGTGCTATACCCCGTATACACGGAGTACTCGCCGCCGCTCCGCTGGCTCGCGTTGACACTATCCGGCAAGGGCCCGCGGGCCGCGTACAGGGCGTACTCGCCCAGCGCCTCCAGCCGGAAGGCGGTGGAGCGGTTGTAGGTGCACTCGACGGTGGCGACGTACCCGGGTTCGCGGTAGGTGTAGCCCGTGGCGTGCGGGTAGGTGGCCCGCAGGGCGGAATCGGTGAGCCCGACCGCGGCGCCGACGCCGTACGAGCGCCCCGTGTAGCTGTACCCCGTGCTGTCGAGCTTGGGGTGCACGCGGCTGGCGTTGGCGAGCAGCGGGGAGGCCGTGCTGGCCGAGGAGATCAGCGCGGTCAGCTGCGCGAGCCCCACGGAGTAGGTGAAGTAGCCCTGCGGGGTGCGGGCGGTGGGGCCGGTGCGGTCGATCTGCGACGGGTATTCGAGGATGAAGCTGGTGTTGCGGTAGGAGGGGATCGGCAGCGGGTAGCGGTGGGTGGTGGTCGTGGTGGTCGGGGTGAGGGCGCCCGTCCAGAGGGCGGAGAGCACGGCGGAGAGGTTGGCCAGCAGGAAGGTCGCGCACACGAGGAGTGGGGGCAGGGTCCAGTTCGCCGCCGGGGTGGAGAGCGAGGCCCAGAAGCTGAGGGTCGTGAGTTGGGTCTTTTGCGTCGCGTGCCGGTGGGCGAACCGGATGCGCGTCGCTTGGTTGATCAGCCGGCAGATCATGAGGAGTTGCACCGTGCTGAGCAGCGTGGCGAGCGCTTGCACGCCCGTCTGCACCGAGGTGCGGTAGCCGTTGATCAGCCCGTAGATGGATCCGGCCGCGATCGTCCAGTCGAGGCTGTCGGAGAGGAGGAGGAGGATGCTCAGCGTCGTCGGGAGCAGCAGCAGGAGGAAGATGAGGTGCTCGGTCCAGGGGACTGGCCGGGTGGGGCTGGACGATGGCATTGATGGCTTTCTAGCTGCCTGCATTCGTTGAATTTGTAGCGTAGCTACACAGTCTTCGGGCTGGTGAGGCTGTTGTAGGGCTTATATCCCCGCTCAGCCCTAGCCGCCCGTCGCCCGCCGCCCCGGAGCTCCCGACGCTGGCCCTGACCGGCGCGTAGCACTGCTTGCATATTGGTCGTTGGCAAATTGAAACAGCCGGAGAAGTTTATCTGTGCCACATGGCGCGAGGCTGATCGAGGGGCAACCTTGGTCGTTCATCCACCTCAGGGTCCAGGATCTTGGCTGCGTTGACACCGGAGCGTGGGCCGTGGCTGTTGGATTGTGGTAGATACGTGACTGGTTGCGTTTGCCGCCGGTTTCTCATATTAATAGCTTAGCTTAATTTGAAGGACCACAGTGTTATCGATGACAGCATCGTTCGAGCCTGAATTCAGTTTCTCGGTATTCTACAGCCTTCCCACTTGCGTTCCGAAATGTGGAAAACCCCTGTGTCACAATGGACCATGCCTAAGACTCACCTGTTTCGGGTTGGTGTGGGCTACCACCATGGATAGATACTCCGATACCTCTGTCTTTTGGATGGTATGTTAATGCTGGCTGGTCAGTTGTCGCCCATGTAATCCAGCAAGTGACAACAAACGATCATGTTACCGTGGTGAGAGACTAGGTAGACCAGCTATGCCTCTAGCATACTAGCTCGACTAGAAGCTGTATGGCATTAATCATCAACAAGCCACCATCTGTCAGCATCTCATCGATTAATAAGCAATATCATTCTATATGTCAGCAGCTGCGCAATCCCAATTCCATATAAAAGAAAAGAGCAATTATAGTACAGTACATCCCCAGATTCAGCCTAGATTCGCCCCAGATTCGCCCCAACTCCAATCAAAACCCACCGTAACCAAGCGTCCGAAACCATCACCATGCCTCTCGCCATAACCCTCACCTCCCCGCACACTCCAACCCTAACCACCATCCCCCCACCCACCCTCCGGCCGGGGACCCTCCTCGTCCAGCCCAAAGCCGTAGCCCTCAACCCCACCGACCTCAAGAAAGCCAGCTCCCCCAACACCCCGCTCAATCTGCCCCTGGGCTGCGATTACGCCGGCACCGTCCTTTCCATCCACCCGAACACAACAACCGACTTCCAACCAGGCGACCGCATCTTCGGCTTCGTCTCCGGCTGCAACCCGCTCCACCCCACGGACGGGGCCTTCTCCACCGCCACGCCCGCCGTCGCCGCGCTCCAACTCCTCATCCCCGCGCATCTGTCCTTCGCCGAAGCCGCCACCTTTGGCATTGCCCTCACGACCATCGGCCAGTCTCTTTACCAGACCCTCAACCTCGCCCCGCCAGACACGCCCCTCTCCGAGCCCCTCCCCATCCTGATCTACGGCGGCTCGTCCGCGATGGGCACCATGGCCATCCAGTTCGCCAAGCTCTCCGGCTATCGGGTCTTCACAACCTGCTCGCCGCGGAACTTCGAGCTGGTGCGGTCGTACGGCGCAGACGAGGTCTTCGACTATCGAGACCCAGATGCCGCGGCGCTTATCAACGAAAAGACCGGGAACCGACTGCGGCTGGTGATGGATACGATTGGCGGCGAGGAGGCGGTGGCGTTCTGTGACCGGGCCATGTCGGCTGAGGGCGGGGAGTTTGCGACCTTGTTGACGGACACCGTCATCCCGAGAGAGAATGTGCGGACGCGGATCACCGTGGCGTATACGGCGATGGGGGAGGAGCTGGAGTTGGGAGGACATAGGATCCCGGCCCGGAAGGAGGATTATGACTTTGCTGTGGAGTGGATGAGGAAGCTCTGGCCATTCCTGCAGGATGGTAAGATCAAGCCTCATCCGGTGAGGGTTGTCGAAGGGGGCTTGAAGGGGCTGGCGGAGCAGGGATTCGAGATTATGAGACAAGGGAAACTTAGTGGGGAGAAGTTGGTGGTTGAGGTGGAAACGGAGTAAGACCGTGTCAATATCCCTAACATGATCTTGATGTTTGTACTGTATTATGCATACCGAGTAGCGATAGATGAAGTCAGACCTCACAGCTCATTCCGCAGAAAGTTGTCGGTCATATCAGCTCCCGGGAAGTTCTCCCATGAGAGGCCGTCAAATATAGATAAGGGCGTGGGTCGACTAGCGCCGTCAAACTCACCCGGGTCCTGAAGCAGTCGTTCCAGGATCGCACGGCTGCGACTATTACCCGGCCAGACTCGCTCAATCTCGGTGAGAAGGGTAAGAGCCATACTTCCTTGCGAGATCTGCTCTGAATCAACGGTCTCGGTCATCCTCAATCTGTATCTCGCCACTTGAGGAAGTTGTATGCGAGGGTAGGATGCCATACACAATATGCCAGATATAGTTAGACATTGGACACAAAAGGCTAGATGGTGCGACGGTGGTATGCAGTGATGAATCAGTTCAGCTGCGTGGATACAGCTTTGTGCAGCTCCAAGGCATTCGGAAGATGGATCGCGAAGAAGTGGATGTGGTTCCGGGCGTTTGCAACCCAGCAAGGGCCTATAACTCGGCCAGAAATGTGCAAGACGTGGAAAAGAAACCGCCCTCCCGGTATAAGTTCATGAAAATAGCCTATTGCCCGATCTGGTCGGAAGCATTGCACGAACGATTGACTGCCTGCGCCTGAGTGATGTACTGGGAAAGTGTTTGGGCTAGGCACTCCAAGCGGAGGCACAACATATCCATGGGCTGGCACCGTTCCTCCAGGATGTTGCATAACTCAGCCAGAGTCAGTGGGGTTGCCATTCCAGGTTATCCATATAATTCACCGTCGACTCGTCGCGGCATGATCGTTAGACTCGGGGTACTCGCAAAGATGGTTGCGAGACTCGCACATGAAGTATGGCTGTTCTCCGTCGCATTTGATCTTTTTGTTTGAGTCAGCAGATGATATGACTCGTGCACTGCATATCTGACACATACCTTCTTCCGCCGGCAGGAGAAGCATGGCTTCTTGACTCGTACATCAGGTTTCTTGGTCGAGTAAGCCATTTGTCTGTTTGCTGCTGGGGCAGTTAGTGTATCGGAGGGGGGAGTGAGGGAAGGGAGCAATGTTCAGACTCCGATGCGACGTCAACTGTTTGATCAGTTGTCATAGGAGGTGATCCTATATAATCTCTCCCCTCATCTCCTGCCAATTGCCTCAAGGACGAGCAATGCCCGCTTATCATAAGTCACTTCTAAAGATGTCGGCATTGTGGCTAGTGGGAGGTCTTTCCCACATTGCAGACCACCTACCAAATCGATTCAGCGAGAGGCAATGAGCACAAGCCACGGTACGGAGTAGGGTCGGAAGGCATATGCGTGAAGGCACAAGATGCGAGAAAGTGAAAGACGGACTTTTGCACCGAGATGATACAGTCATTAGTAGAGGTTGTTCAAGGTCATGGTGCTCTGGTAGGTATATCCGGAGGAGAAGATTGACGAAAGGAAGAATGAGTTTCGGCACCGGCTCGAGATCCGATCCGAAAGAGGCATATATAGCACCACCACCACCACCACCACCACCACCATCACCACCATCATACCTTTCTGAGCATACCCTCTACCTACACAGCCTTCATCAAACCATGTCACAAGAATAGTTTTCTCAAGTTGTCTCCACGCCCGAAGAAGACTCGTCTACAAGCCTCACTCGCAAAAGACAGTCGCGGATCTCGGGGAAGACGTACGCCACTCTCATCTCCCCATCTTCTCCCATCCGAACTCGCTGACATTGTGCAAAAGGTGGGTCCTCGAAATTTGTGAACATGGCAACATTGACGACAAAGACATGTATATTACCGCTCAGCAGTATGAACCAATCTGTTGGACACTGGTCGTAAAGACGAGGGGGGAAGGGAGACGATTTTGACAAAAGAACCCGAGAATATACCCGTTTTGCCCCCTTCTCAGTCTAAACAACGACCATCTCGAGCCAGCTGCCGAGAAAACTCACTCCCGCCACCACCCCATTCCAAAGGCCAGAACATCCCGATGGTTCCTAGTAATTCGGTTCTCTGGCGGTGGAGGAAAGACGCCATCCCTCCCTGCCCTCGACAGCCCAACAATACATCTGCATATGAATCAATCAGCTCCTGAGACGGAATATAGGTGGCAGAACGTACATCAACCGTCGACCAGGATCAAAAAAGATCTGCTCCGTCTCCTGCATGAAGAAGCCCCACCCCTTCAGACGCATATGCCTATTCGCACAAGGTTCAATCCCAGGTCAGTACACCTCCCCGAACAGCCGACAAACCCCAAGAAAGAAGCCTCACTCCAACGCCGAGATACCCGAGGCCGGGCATCTCCACGACGCTGGTGCCGCCAGCGAGACCCATCGCAATCACCCAAACATGCCCACCATCTTTGAGGGGATTCTCGGCACCAGGCAGCTCGGCGCACCCGTAGTAGTTTGGGAAGTAGACGGATACCTGACAGTCTTGTAGGGCCTGGCATTCGTCTTCGAAGCACCTCCGCGCCATGATCTCCTCGGAGATGAGGTCGCGCTCACTGACTCCTTTGGCTGCGATTCTGATGAGCGATGGGCGCTGGTTAGATGTGAATGCGGATCGAAAATGTATAAGGATGAGCCACGTACTGGTAGCGGACTTTCAGAGCGCATCGTCGCGTGTCGTGGGGGACTGTGGCTTCGTAGACCACCCATCGCTCGTGGAGCTCCATGTTGGACTTCTCGGATAGCACATCCACGATCGTGTATTCGTGGTTGTTGACGGTTATTGCTCGTCCGATTTGGGTTTCAGCATACATCCGGATGGGAACCTGTAGTCCATTTTGAGGTAGCGGTGCTACAAAAGTAGTTGACACGAGGAAGGGCGATACTGCAACCATGCAAGATAGTGGAGAGTACTGCACAATACAAAGTGGGGAAGTTGTAGGATCAGAGCCTCGGGAATCATCCCCGGGTTGACGTCGAACGTACACAATTGGATAAGCCCGGAAATACGAGGGCAGTACGGAGAGGTAAGTGCTCGTTGATTGGGTTAACAGGTAACGCGGCTATTGAATAAAGACTAACAAATATTGCAGTCTAAGATTTTTATATCCCCAATACTGAAGACACCGGATTACATACAACAGCTTACAAGCTATTGCATTCACCGCATGATTCCCAAGCGCAGTCGACACCCTTTTCCCTCAACGAATGTGCCTGCTTTTCAAATTGTCGCTGAAGATCAAAGGCACCTTTGGATAGTGGTGAAATGGACCTTCCATTGGCCAAGGCCTGGTGCGTCTATCTTTAGGCTGGTTATGCATTTTGCAAGGTTGAAGTTAACCTATATTTATCGATGGGTAAAAGATCGACGGTGACTAGGCGTTTGGATGCTGGCTGTCTTTTGTGGCCAAACAAAGAAATGTACCACCGCCAAGCGGAGTTGCAGGCTGTGTTCCTATGCTCAGGCTAGGCAAGCTCAATGGGGCATGCAGTGCTGTAGACTATCTCGCTCGCTAGAATGCCGTGACAAACACAGTGACGTGATCTGAGAGCAGTTGAAATATCCCATAATGAGATGGCAAACCATCCTTATATGTACGTGCTTACAATATTACAGCCCGCCAATAGCGACACGAACCTGGAGTCGACTGAGCCTGACTCGGTTTGATCAATTTCATGCCCAGAGAATGGAGAACATGAGCTTGAAGCCAGCAAATCGTGGCCGAGATCTGGACTCCCTCCATCAGAGACACACCAATAAGCTAAATCGAAGCGCACAAACAAGCAATCATGCATGCATCGGGCGGAACAGGCCTGCTGCGTATCATGAAGGTTTCACGGAATCTGGACCCCTGGTCGGTTTAATTGATTCTGGTTCGGAATGGAGGGGGCTGGGGAAACTGCCTGAGGGTCCTTGAATCTTCCGTCCGCTGACTGTCATGTGACTGTGCGGTCAGTATGAGTTGGGATAACTTGGAGGTCGGGAGATGCGGAAGAAACCTGTTGCGGGCAGTAGTATAGCACTCCGTCAGGATATTCGCTCCGCCCAGCAGGCAGAACTAGATGGCACAGCATCCAATAAAGTAGCTTCATTTTGACCCTGCACCCCAAAATCAAGAAATGTCTTGCAATCGAGCAGGGCGAGTAAAAGTCTGTTCCTGCGAGCAGTCCCGGCGTATCCGCCTCAGGCCGGGCCGCTAAGTTACCGCCGACGATCCCCACCAGGGACTGGACTAATTATATCCGGCTGGGTGGTGCAGGCAGGCAGGCAGCATGGTTGTCGAGTCCAGTGTCGAATCGACCAAACGCATGATAGTGAGTTTATTAAGTGGGGGGAGCAGTGTCGAAAAGTATGACGTGGGAATTGTGATTGTCGCATGGGCAGAGACAAAAAGCTTCAGCTGTGCGAGACAGCGACAGTCCGCGCGGTGTTAGTGCTTATCGGCACCATGGTGAGTTTAGGGCGAGGGCCGATACTGTCGATCGTGCGGACAAATTACGTCGTTGGCCCGATGGGTGGCAGAAACGTTGCCGTTTCAAGGCCCCACGTTGTTTCAGGTTGGAAAAGCCGAATACGGCTGTTGGAATACGAAGCCGGGCTGAGCCAAGTGCTCAAGTTGATGACAAAGTACAGTAAGATGAGAAGGGAGTGAAAGCAATCCTTATGTCTGTCAGTCTGCCAGTCAGTGTGGTGGTATGGGATAAGTGTCAGTGTGAATTGAGGTGGACAATTCTACTATGTAGACCGAGGAGTCACCGGAGTCCGCAGCAACATCATCTCCAGCCAATGATGAAGCCATCTCCGCTTGGTCGCTTTGGTCAAGCTTTCGGCAAGGGCGGAGTGGTGGAATGAGAAGAGGGGGTCGATAAGATGAGAACCTAATGAGAGATAGCAAAGACTGATTGCAAGATCATTGTTGCCAATGAGTTGATTCAGGCTGTGAATAAAACACACTCAATCTGTAAACAATCTACCTATCCGGTCAATAACAAAATGATTGAAGAAAAGAATGGGCTTATTATTCAAGTGTAAACCAGAGGCAGGCACCCCAAGGACTCGAAGCGCACAACAGTGGAGACGCGCCGACCGAGCAGAGGCTCACCCAATGGCAATGAAAGACGGCCGTCAGCCAGCTTGGAACACAGCCAGCAGGCCGCGTGGGCAACCATCGAGTCCATCCATCCATCCATCCATCCATCCATCCATGACCCATGTCACTCTTCCTTCGATTTCTGCCTCTCTCTCATCCATGATTCATCTTGTTCCAATCCGATTTATAAATAACAGTGGGCCCCTCCCTCACGCGTCCGAATCAGTAGTGGTCGATTTTTTTTCCCTCTTTGTCCTTGAATTGCTTGGATTGCTTGCTGAGTGGTGGTGCTATTATCTTCGCTCCGATTCTCCGATTAAATATTGTACTCTTCGCTCTCTCTCTCTCTGACTCTCGGTCGGACTCCTTCTCCTCCTCTCCTCCTCCCACTTACTTCCGTTCCCCTCACTCACTCGCTCCCACCACTCATCACCATCGAATCAGTCTGTGTCTCCCACCGAAAAAAAAAACAAACCATCCCATCGAGCATGCGATTATAAATCCGCACACACTCCCGCCGCCTAGTTTCCCCCCTCCCCTCCCAAAAATAAATCAACGACACTACTAGACTAGTCCCAATTCTAGTCAGTCTCCATCGAGGGTACTATAACTCGGACCACCAAGTTCCCCGTCCCCGATCGCAATCAAGCCCACCACGCATCGCAACGGCCGTGCCCACTACTATATATCTCAACACTACAGCAGAGAAAATTTCCAGCCCAGAAAACCCCCGAATCGCAAACGCCAACCATCGGGTGTCAGTTTCACCTCTAAACCTCCCACAAACCTACACACAAATCAATCAAAATGGGCACCCTCAGTAGATCCGCCATCATCGTCATCGTCATCATCGCCTGTCTCGCCGTCGTCGCGTTGGGCGCCGCCCTCTTCAAGACCTACGGCGGGCCCGAGAAGGAGCGGCCCTACAACTTCTCCCGCGAGCAGGAATCCTACATGCGCTCCGTGCGCTTAAAGAATCTGGGCTTCTTCCAGCGCGAGTCCATGATGGGGTACCCCGGGGCTGGTGGCGGTGGTGGTGGTGGTGGTGGGAAGGGCCCTGCGGCGTCGGTCGTCCGGGATGTGGAGTCGGGATGTATGTTTTCCTCCTCCCCCCCCCCGAACTTCCCTTCAGTCGGTTTTTGGATAAAGAGGGTAGAGGCTAATTTTTCGTGGAACTTGCAGATTCGGAGAATGATTCGTCGCATTACTAGTTTCCGTCTTTGGTTGGCACCACTTTTCCGGAGGGTTCCGGATCTCGCTTCGATGAGGACGATACGATACCATTTTGCGAGTCCCTCAAGGAAAAAAGCTATTTGTGAAGAGCGTGGATATTGTATGACTTGACGATTATGGGGGTCCTTTTCTTTGATTTTCTCAAACCATTCGGGGTTTTATACCACCACTTCTGCTGGGTCTGATTCTCCAGCGGTGCTGAGGGGCTGGCGTTTTGAACTTGTCTATATGCTTCCTAGATTATACCTATCTGCCGTTCTTGTCAATTCGACTATTGTCTTATAGCTATTGACGGTGATTTCATGTTGTTTCAGATTGACGAAGACCGGCAGGTTCAATCTCGTATCTTGCCACGTCCAATCATGGAAAAGTGCGCATGCTTTGACTCACAGGCTCAGGAAAGACACTTTCTCTCCCCCCACACCCCCAAAATCACCCCCTCCATTCCCTCTCCAGGGAAATAATAACTTTCCGCCCTGATACCCCGCACCACAGCAAGTAGCGCGTCTTTCTCCGCTTGTGACGCCTCCCGAAACGCCTCCGCCCCTAGCACCACCGCCAGACTCGCTGTCAACGCTGCCGTTGGACTCTGCCGGTTGGCCACCGCCACCCCGCAGATTTCCCGCACTGTGGTACGGATCTCTTCGTCCAGCACGGCAAGGGCCCGACGGTGCGACATGCGGGGACGGAGCCGGTCAACGTGGGGGTCGTGCGTGGCAAGTAACAGGTCGATGAGCCCGAGGGATTGCGTGGCCACGATGTGGGTGTCGTTGATGAACCATTGCTGTGGGAAGAAGAGTCCTTCGGAGGGTAAGGCAGAAGTGGTGTAGATGGAGGTGAAGTTCGAGGGTGCGCGAGCCGCCCAGCTTTGGCGGAGGTTGAGAAGGTGTTCATAGAAGGTGGATCGCTGGCCGGGAGATTGTTCAGGAGAATGGACTGGAGGGAAACAGTATTGGATGATATGCGCCCCAATGATGAGCAAACGGTTCGTCCAGACGTGGTCTGGAGAGGTTCGGGTGGGGAGGTAGTGAGCCACAGTGGAGAGGGGTATGCGGAAGGATCGACGCTGAGAGATGGCCATGTGGAATTCCTGCCGGAAGCCGACCCAGAAGGCCGAGGAGCGGAGGCCATGACACGTCTGAATTGCGGAAGAGGCTTGCGCTTCGAGAAAGACTTGGAGGCCGCGGACGGCGGTGTCAGAGGGGGGATCGGTGAAGGGGCCTGATGAATCAGCAGAGTTGCTCTCCCAAGGGGCTAGGAATAGAAGAGATTGAGAAAAGCCATACTGTCAAGTTCTTCATAGAACCGGAGAATCACAACCGCGGCAAGCAAGTTCTCGTCCATGATCGCGTTGGGTTCCTGGCTGGCGGCACGTAGGCCGGCGATAGACCGACTGTGGTAGGCGAGCATGGACTCCTCGCCAATAGCAAGGCCTTCTTTCAACCCATATTTTTGTGTTATTGCGAGTTGACGTTGTTGAGGGAGAGTGCTGAAGTGTCGGGCGGATGCAGAGAGCATCGCGTCCAGGAGAGGAGCGCAGATGCGCGCTCTTTGTGGAACAACGACGGCAAAGTGCCTTTCCGGGTCACACAGGTCGAACTGATGGTGTGAGCAGTAGCCGCACAACCTTATCGCAGACAACGTACCCATAACCCGAGACTCTCGACAAAATAACGGATAAGACAGGCCTCCTCTAGGCTCAATTGTGCCTGCGTGGCCTGAGTTTGTGACTGTGGTGACGGTAGATCAGCGGAGAGGGGAGTAGTGATTGCAGATAATCTCGATTCATCCCATATTCGTTCTGAACTGCGAATGCCACCATGTTCGATCTCGCAGGTGGGATGAGAGGGAAACGCGTCAGTCTGCTCCGCGCCTATAGTCGTCTCTGCTGCGTATAGGGCCGCCAAGGCCGGAGTCTCATCAACGTATTCGAATGCACGGTTGCCTGTTGAAAGGTTAGCTGCGATTGTAAGGAGGAAAAGAGCCATACTGGTAGTTAGTGTATTTGACGCATCAGAAACATCCTGCGCATATTCTGCGCTGGTTGTATTCAGGAACTGCAACTGTGGGCTGGAACGAATGCATTCTCTCCCAGAATTTTGGCATCGTTCGCATTTGGGGCGAGAGTCATCACCTATGAGGCAGATGAAGTGAGTTTAGCATCGAATGCGACGTGATTATTTTGAGGAAGATGCCTACATCGCAGGTGGTGTCCTGGGTTCAATGTTTAAGCGAGCTGCCCACAAGAGACAAAAGTTGAGCACCTACTTCGGCAATATTCACTAAAGCCAATGAGTAGTGTCCATAGAAAGAGGATACCTAGGGGAGCTTACCAGGGTTGACGCCTTGCTGGCATGCAAGGCAGAGAATCGGGTGGGAAGGAGTAGTTGGGGTAGTTGGTGGAGTGGAGGAGAAGGATCTCACAAATTTGGAGGGGTTCGGCGACGGTTGCCTTTTCGGCTACTCCATCTAACTGAGTGCCGGCAACCCCGCCCATCCACGGTTCAACTAAATCAACTAACGTACGGTACTTTCAACGATTCAACCGAATCTACCTCAAAGTTTACAGCCCATCATTGGGATCCCAGATCTTGAACCACCGCTTATCCATTTCCGCATCTCCTTCCTCATAGAAACGCAAGTCCGTACTCAACCGAATGCGCCCCTGCGCATCCTCGTTTCGCCCACTCGCATGGATGGTATACGGATGGTGGAACACCACGTCGCCCGCCTCATAATTAGTGGCCAGCCACTTCTGAGACCTGGAGGTCGGATGATCTAACACGAACTCGTCGGGCGACTTCGCCAGCATTCCACCAGCCATCATGTTGACGTTATAGGCGGAAAGGCGCTGCTCGGTCGTGAACCCAGCAGCGCGAGTGGTAAAATCCTTCTCAATCTCATTTCCCAGAGCTACAGATTTCTCCAGATAGCACAACCCTCCACCATTGATTGAGATATCGCCTGGACGATTTAGCATAACGCTCCATTTCGAGAATATCTTTGACTCACCAATTGGGACCCACGCAGTGAGGCAGTATCCATCGCCTCCGCGCAGAAAAAGCTTATCATAGTGAATGCCAGTACACATCCCAAAAGGAACATTATGACGCAGCATTGTTCGGTCCAACAGGACATGATGTTTCCAGCCCATCAATAGCCGGATGAATTGCGTCAGAGCGGGATGCTCGACAAAGGCACGGTACTTGGAGTCGGAGTGGGCGTCAATAAGAATTCTAGCCTCGACAGGATCAGCTGGCAGGCCTTGACCACCAATACCTTTGTGTAGATCGGGGTGAGACGAGCTGTTGAAGATACCATCCCGCGGGGATGACCCCGGTTGCAGAAGAGATGTGTTGGCGTAGGCTTTGAAGTAGCTTGACCACAGTCAGTAACAGAAACAAACCCCGAAGATTCACATGCAGGCAGCGCACTTACTTCTCCCTAGCGTCTACAACATCCTCACGGGATAAAAGTCCTTTTACGAAGAGGTATCCATCCTCTTCGAATCGACGGCGCAGCTCGTCCAATGGAAGCCAAGGTGCAGAGGGTCGCAGCAAACCAAGATTGTCAACGTCAATGCGACCACCGTTCTGCGCCAAACCTTGTGGCAGCTCTATCGCTGCATAGGAGTGAGGGTCAACAGAGTTTGAGCTAGAATGTTCAGTATAAGCCATTTCGTTTTGTTATCCAGGCTTCTGGCGTTGCGGAGACCTCCAGTTGCGCTGCTCCCGGGCTATGCCACCACTTATGAATGATGGATTGTGGACTTATTTCTGGAAAGAGCCTTATCGAATTTTCTCCTCTCGTGCAGCCCCATGCGGTGTTGGCTGCTTTTGCATGGATCAGCCAGCATGGGAAAAGACAATCATGCAGTGGATACTAGGTAGCATGCCGTTCGCCGACATTCACCATCTTGGTCTTTTGAGCAATTCTCGCCGGCGCTAACCGCTTTTGTCCTCGCTTGCGCATAATCCGGGGTAAGTATACAGCTGCATCGACATATATCAATCAAGTGCTGCTCGCGATGACCACAGGACATTCTCGCGATTCAACTGAGCCAGCCTCATCTCCACAAACATGTATGCTTTAGTCCTTCTCATCCTCTGCTATCTTCTGTTTTTCTGCTATGGCATCCTTCCCGTCGTCAACTACTTCCGAGACCCCAAGGGTCTCCGCAAGTACCCGAAACTCTCTTTCTGGTCGGGAATTTCGAGTCTTCCTCTCGTAATCGAGTCCCACAGAGGCACACGATACAAGCGACTCTTCGAAGCACATAAAAGCCACCCAGTGCTCCGCGCCGGCCCCAACATGTTATCCTACGCAGACCCCAACGCCATCAAAGACATCTACGGTCACAGCACGAGATGCACCAAAGACCTGTTCTATTCCATCACAAGCGGCTCTCATTTCCACCTCGCCGATGTTGTAGACAAGAGCGAGCACGCCCGCAAGCGCAAGGTCCTGTCTAGTGCCTACGCGCTCAAGAACCTCGAATCCTGGGAGTACAAGGTCGCTGACATGACGCGGCGCGTCATCACAGCGTTCGATGCCCGATGCACTGATCCCCTCCCCAGCGGCTACCATCCCAAGGAAGAGGACCTGACGGTTGACTACCGTCTGTGGACGAACCTGTTCACCATTGCGGCTATCGCAAACATCGGCCTAAGCGAAGACATCCGCTTTCTGGACCAAGGCAACGACCAGATCACGTCCGAGTCCATGGACGGGACCATCAAGCGCGTGAGTTTCCGAGAATGCCATTTCGCGAGCGGGTCGGCCACCTCGACGCTGATCTGGTGCTATGAGTGGTACCACACCCTCATCAAAGCCAGCAAGCTGCTGTCCGCCACGTTCCGCCGGAAGTGGCAGCTCAGCCGGGACTGGGACGGGATCGTCTACAGCCGCGCGCATAACCGGTGGAAACGGTACCAGAACGGGGAGCAGCTGGACGATTTCTTCGCCGCCATGATGGCGGATAAGAACGGGGTGCCGCATAACCTGGAATGGGGCGAGGTGGTCGCCGAGGTGAGTATCATGATCAACGCCGGGTCTGACACCACGGCCATCGCGCTGAGCAACGTCATGTTCCTGCTTCTGCGCCACCCGCACTGCTTCCAGAAGCTGCGCGAGGAGGTCGACGAAGTCCTGGATGAGGATGAGGTCGTCGCGCCGTACGACAAGGTCAAACATCTCCCGTACCTGCGCGCCTGCCTGGATGAGTCGATGCGGCTGTACCCGCCGGTCTCGTTTGCGCTGCCGCGCCGCACGCCCCCGGAGGGGACCACGATCCTGGGAGAGTTTGTGCCCGGGAACACGTCGGTCGGGATTTCGGCGTATGTCGTGCATCGCAACGAGACCGTCTTCCCCGAGCCGGACGCCTTCAAGCCGGACCGCTGGCTGGGCGAGAAAGGCAAGGACCTGCAGCCGTACTTTGTGGCCTTCAGCACCGGTGCACGGGGGTGTATCGGTCGCAACATCAGCTATCTGGAGCAGACCGTGTTGATCGCTTCGCTGGTGCATCGCTACGAGTTCGCCTTGCCTCATCCGACCTGGGAGCCCACGCGACATGAAACCACGAATACGGGGCTGGGACCTATACCCATGAAGATTTGGCGGCGGGGGGAGGTTCAGCACTCATAGCGGCACGAGTCGCTAAATTAGAACCAGATCTAGATGCGGTGGAAAGAATCCCCCATGCGACATTTACCCAAGTACTTATTGAACACATGAAGCAATTGAACCGCTGTTCACGCCTACTTCTTCGTAGCGACACTTTAAGCCCCTTCCTCACCAGGGAGAATAACTCGCAGCCTCCTTTAATCGATTTTTCAATGGCATTGACTCGCACAAAACCCACGGGCTTCTTAAACCCTGTACCAAAAAATGCACATTCTCCCAATCCGTCATATCCTCCTCCGCATTCAACCGCCTCAGATGCAACGACTGTCCCTTCGTCAACCCCATCTCGCAATCACCCTATCGCTTCGGGTATTCTGCCAGATATCCACCAGACCATCCTTCAAGTCAGTTTCACGACACACAAGAGCATGTCCATCTCTCCTCCGCCCGGTCGCCCCCATAAATCAGCCCAATCGGGACAGCCTCCGAAAAAACACTTTAAGAACAGCGAAAGAAGGATCAAGTAATAGTACAAAGAAGAGGAAAGAAAATATCCTCAAAGTACGACCATCAACACAGTCTCGAGCGCATACACGACCGAACACACCACGATAGCCGGGACGTAGCGGGGCGCGTCCTTGTCACGAAAGATCCTAGGCGCCGATACAGTTGCCGCGGCAATAGGCGATGAAGAGGACGGTGCCGGTGCTGGATTTCTTGGTGCGGCCCGCGACGTTGGATGGGAGGAGGGTCCAGATCACTCGTGCTGACGATTTCCAGAAATTGATGTTCGAGTCACACATACGGATCTTGGTGCTAATAGCGAAGAATAGAAGGGGCAGACTGCTGCGCTGAAGAGTGTAGTTGCCAGGAGCTTCGCTGGCCAGAAAGGCAATCTAGAAGGTGGAAGTCAGCCCGAGCGAGGAGTCCAGCAGTCAGCGTAATTACCATAGCCCTTTGAACTGTGGTGTACACCACAGTCTCGTTGGCAGGATTCGGTTTGAGGCATGGTGAACTGCATACGCAGTAGAACCCTCGTAAGAGAGAACAGAACAGGGCCGCATTGAAAAGGTTATCGCATTGGCACTGGGCATTTTGGTGATGAGCTATCCTGCGTGGTGCAGAGGGAAGTCCTTCAGAGGTACCACTATGACGGGAGATTCTCCAGGGTATTTCGGGTATGGTGGGAAGAAGCAATTGAAGTCGCTGACGAGCTTTTTGGAAGCCTCGCCATTTGCCATATCGAGTATGGGGTCTTTGCAGTAGTACACTGCGTGGATATGCCTCTTTTCAATCTGGTTCGAGGATCAAGGCCATGGAAATATGGTACTAGACCAGTAGTAACCTCATATTTTGTGAAATCTTTGTAGGATGGGTAGGTAGTTGCTGGCATGGGAGGGGGTTGTGCATGATACCTCCAAAGCTCTAGTGTTCTTTTTATGTCTATTCTCAGGTCAGTGAAGATTCGGTGGCTCATGTCTTCCGAAAGATCCGAGTTTTTCAGGCGGGCTTGTCGGATGGGTGTCAAGTGTGCCACTAGCGAGTATCGGCTAAGCCATGGATATACTTTTCAAACTGAGAACTACGCTGCTGACTGAATCAAGGAAACCATGACAGTTGCATTATTGGAATACCTAGGCAAATCCCTTTATTGTATAGACTACAGCTTGGAAAGCATTGTGGGTAAAAAGCGGTGGTATTTATTAAGGTGTGATTAGGTAGACTAAGAAACACTTTTTAAAAAAAGGCAGTCTAGTGAAACGAAGAAAGTCCGGAAATGGGTCTACTCTTGCCAAAAAGAACAGAAGAAGAAAAGAGCAATTTCGCCCATCCTTGCATCCAACCATCCAGAGACTCGCTTAGATGATGGAACCGAGAGCAACGCAGGGAAGAGCGACACCGAGAAGGTCGTCGGACTGTTCGATGTGTTAGCTTAGAAGCTCTTCGGGCACGAGGAGTTCTGGGGGTGACACTCACAGCATCGGCACCGCTGTATTGGCAGCAGGCGATGTTCTGCTTGCACTGCTGGTTGAGGATGTCCTGAGCGGAGATGCCGATGATGGGGACTGAAAGGAGAAAGGTCAATGTTAGCATTACTCGTGTCTTGGGTTTCGTTTCTAGCTCCAGCAGATGATAGGATCGTCCTGGCGGAAGACTTACTCTGGAGGTCGAGCTTGGAGCACTGGTCGAAGAGACCAACACCCTCAGAGCCAGAGCCAGTACCGGCAATGTTGCCGAGGAGACCAGCCAGAGCACCGTCGTCGATGGTGGTGGTGTCGCCGGCGTAGGTGGCCTTGTTGCAGCAGGAGAGCTGAGCCTGGTTACCACACTTGGCAGAACCCTGCTCGATGGTCCAGTCATCGGGGACGGAGTAACGGGGCTTGTCGCCCTCAGCAGCGCGGACCTCAAGGTTGCGGGCGGAGGGACCACCGACGGCAGCGGTGGCGGTGGCCAGAGTGGCAGCAGCGAGGATGGCGAAGAAACGCATGGTGGTTGGTGGTTTGAGTTGAAGAGGGTTGGGTTTTTGGAGGTTTGATAGATTGTTTGATTGGAGTGAGAGAGTGAGAGATGATGATGATGATGAGAAAGTATCGAAAACGACGGAGCAAAAGACGGTATATATGCTTTTTCAGAAGGTCTGTTTGTGATTGATTTTAACCTCTGCCCCCAACCCTTTCATTGTTTGGTAGACAGGATGTTGGTTAGGGCATTCCAATTCTCCGTTGCATTCCTAGCAAGGGAAGCTTTCCGGTTGCGGCGCTGGGGCGCGTTACAATGACGGGACGGCGTTGCACGGCACCCAAGATCTCGGACATCATGATTGCGACCGAATGTGACGCTGTCCAGAGCCCTTTTCTTTCATTGATCCCCTTGGTCCCTGGTTCAAATGCTTAGTTAGAGTTCGTGAAGGGGTATTCGTGAGCACATCTTGTCCCGGAAACAGTGGCATTGACTTTTCATTCTGACTGGCATTCCACTCCTTATCGCGGGTCTTTGATTGTTCCAACAAGGGAGAGAAGAGAACGAGTCATAGAAAACAACAACAAGTATTCTAGCCCCAATATACTGAGCAAGAACGTGCATGTTAGCGGAGAAAGGAAAAAACTTTGTATGCTGGGAGGAAAATCCCTCACATGGTTATCCACATAGACTCAATCTGTGTCTCGTCCTCTCCTTCCAATCCTAACCTTCGATTGCCCCTTCGTATGCGCAAGTGATTCGGACTCTTTTTATGAGGATCTGCGGGTGATGCAGGACTAGCTCAATTCCTCTAGAGCGAGTTAATGCATCTCGGTTGACCTGCATTTGCATTTTACTACCTGCTGGGAGAACTTGCCCAAGAAAGACTATGTTCTTAAGCTCAACAATGGAGTGCAGGGTGGAGTGCGTGCGGATCGGAGAATATTCTTTGCGACGTTATGCTCGATGGCTCGGTATTGACCTGCTTTGCTCAACAATATTGTGAACGATGGAAGGGTCTGCGCAAATGCGCGCCGTGACTACCCTGATGAAGTTCCCATGTCATTCTGGATGTATAGAATGTAGTTGCACACTCGCATCAGTGGCTTCCGTAGCCAAGGCCGCACCAACAATAAGTAAACTTGATGCTTGGTATTTTGGCGCTCCACGAGACTTTGATCGGTCGCTTCGCTCGTCTGAATCTCAAGCGTCCATACGATGGTACTCCCTTCTATGAATTCCGCAAATCATATCGTCCAATCATGCGTAGTCACTCATAGTGCGTTTCTCTCAATGTATACTGGGCCGGATCCGATAGAAAATCCGGCCAAGACTCGTGTTCGTAAAACAATAGAGTAGTCATTCATCTAACTTTGAAGGACTACGCCTTGTACCTGAATATATAGTTATTGCGTGATCAAAATAAAGTACTATGGCGGCGACTGCTCGCTGGAGTGAAGCATGCTGCCGGCTTGTTGTGTCGACACATGGCAGTTGTGGTACAAAGTAAATATATATCGATCAACCTAGCCACCTGCATGTGGAGTATTCTAGTGGTGGGATCTGGGATTATGAATATTTCCTTTCGTCTAGAAGAAAATTGTACCGATGAAAGATAACATGTTGAGAACTCTGCATAATAGAATTACTTCAACATGCCCCGTATCTTCCCAGATATAATTCATGACGATAGATTGAGAAAGAGCCCCGTGATGACGATCATAAAGAAAGTCACGGATGCCCCAGGCGCCAAGGCGGTGAGAAGCGCAACCTCAACCGCCTCCCCGCAAGCTTTCGGCTGGTCATCGACGTCAGCCTCACAGAACCCCCCGTCGTCGTCAACATGAAGATCGTTTACATCGGAGTGAGTGCTCCTCATCTCTTCCTTCCTTTGGCACCACTGTCTCTAACGCCTACGCCGATTTAGATCCTCCAAAATGGCCAGGCTCCCGCGGTGGAGCTCTGCGCAGAGCGTGAGCTTAGCAGCTACTCGCGCTTTACCAGGGGTAGCATTAGCGAGTTCATGACCATGTTCAGCAAGACTGTCGCCGAACGCACGAAACAAGGCCAACGACAGGATATCCAAGAGCAAGGCAAGTCTTCCGCCCGCTACATCGAGTTCTTTATCCATCTATTCCTATTCGACCATCAGCCCCTGACCGCCAGACCGCAGACTTCACATTCCACGTATACGCGCGCACCCAGGGTATCGCCGGTGTCATCATCAGTGATAACGAGTACCCTTCCCTCGCCGCTCACCAGGTCCTTTCCAAGACTCTTGACGAATTCCTCACCCTCCACCCGAACGCTGGTTCCTCGCGGGAACCGATCTCCTTCCCCTCGCTGAAGACCTACATCCAAGCCTACCAGGACCCTCACCAGGTGGACAGCATCCTCAAGATCCAGAAGGAGCTGGATGAGACGAAAATCGTACTTCACAAGACCATCGAGAGTGTGAGTGGATGGTCCTGGGTTGCAGCAGGTGGCCAGTCAGGTGACAGGGCTGACTCTCTAAACTAGGTCCTCGAACGCGGCGAAAAGATCGATGATTTGGTATCCAAGTCGGAGGGTCTGAGTGCACAGTCGAAGATGTTCTACACCTCGGCGAAGAAGCAGAACTCCTGCTGTGTGATCATGTGAGGGCGCATGGGATGACCCCGACTCGAGTCGCCAGTACAGCCCCGGCGGAAATACACCAGCGACCGATTATCATGACTTCGTTTTGAGAGCGTTTTTTGTTTGCTACAGGGCATTCGTTTGCAGTTCTGGACCAGTATTGCTTGATTCATGAATAGGGATGGGAACACCCGGGTGCTTCGAATTACGGGAGAGAAAGGCGGGGGGGGGGGGTTTAGAATAGGCATTCTTATTTGCTTTAGGGCCGAAGAGCAGCAGTCAATGCAGTGTGGGCTTCGATGATTTGACGCCGCTGTACCGAGAAGGACAGCGTAGCGACTTAAGTGGAATGTACCGCCGCCGTAGTTATTCCCGCGCTCATCCCCCTCTATTTTTGCTCGTTTCGCTGTTTTGGTCATGGCAGTGGATCGGGAAGAGGGGCATATCGACGGACCATCCTTATCTATTGAGGAAGGGCGATGCTGGCGGTGGTGATTGGTGGTAGGTTCAGGCTCACAAGTATTAGACTTATTTATTGCAAATTAGTGGGTGATTATCAGGGTTACGAACCCACTGATCCCCCAGTCGGGCCCTACCCGTGGTTCCCGCCTAGAAGTTGGGAATGGCTACGGAGTACATTTCGGCCAATTCTTCTACCGTGGAGGTGATTTTGGGCAGTGGAAAGTGCTGGGTAGTAAGCTTAGACTACTATGTGAGTACAGTTGCGAAAGATCCAATCTATACAAGCTAACTTTTCTGACTGCAGACTTCTTGCCAGTCAATCAGCGGTGAAAAAAGAGTCCGATTAAGCAGCCCTGAGGCCAGCCTCACGCCCCTCGTCTGGTCATGGCCCAATAGCGAACTCCACCCCCTGAGGACTGCCCCTCCCCCCTCTTCCTCACCTGCACTTCACCAAAGTCGTGTTCGTCTTCTAGAACACGATCCACACCCACAACCAACAGCCTCAGTTTCCATTATGTAGCAGCATCGGCCTGGGGCTGCCTATCATTTTTTATGCCCGAGGCTACCCGGGTGCCGGCCCGGTTGGCTTCCATTGGTCACACCCGCCGAAGATGCCCTCGCTCCGAACGGATATTGTTCCTTGTTGCCAGCCAGTGCCAGTGCTTAGGTATCGTGCACTGTGGGAATTATTGACGTTGCTCAACCTTGGGATACGCCCATTACCTTATTTTGTTCGGCTTTATTATTTTATTATCACGCTGGGCCCCCGCGGTGACCCTCTCCGTTTCGTCGCCCGCCTGCTACTTCCATTCCTTTCATATCCAGTTCAGCGTTACGTTCTAGCGATTTGTATGCATCCATAGGTGAGTACTACCCTATACTCTATATTGCCCGTGTGCATGTCTGACTGACTGGATATCAGATACCCTTACTACTACACCATTCTTTCCACGCCTCTCCTTTGTTCGTAGGATAGCCTGAGAATATCTCTTTTGTTGGAACCACCGTCACCTTTCTAGGGCCAGGGGTGCCCTTCTACTCAACGTCACCATGGATCATGATTTCGTTCTCCAGCAGACGCTCCCGTGGAGCTTACAGCGCAATCGGTTGGCAGAACTTCTGACGGCGGATTTCACGGTTGCTGCAGGCTCAGCAGCTTTGGTCACTCCGGCCGTGATGATTCTGGATAGGTACAGCTCACCTGGCTTCTAGAGAGCAAATGCACCCATTGACTTTCAAATTAGACTGGTGGTGGAAAAGTCCTCTCACAATCAACCTCTTCTGCCGGCATTTCGTCGACATCTGTGGCTCTCTATCACGCAACCTGCGACCTTCCTTACCTCGCGACCCAGTCTGCTCGTCTGGTCCCTCTACACCGCAACCTTTGCCGCGGCTAATGCCACCGAGACCGTCCTCAGCGAGGTCTATCCACACATCGACCACGCCCTTGCCACGACGTCGACCTTCTTAACCACGTTCGTGGTTAACTCCTCCGTTGGCATCTGGAAGGACGTCAAGTTCGCTCAACTTTTCGGCCACAACCACAACACCAGCACCGCGGGGACAACCACACCCCCACCCCCGGCAGCGGCATCAACTCCGGCGGCAGCAGCAGCAGCTACCAAACCCACCGCTGCTGCAGCCGCCGCGGCATCCCAAAGCAAGATCCTCCGCTCTGTCACCCGCTCTATTCCCTTCGCTACCTACTCCGCCTTCCTCATCCGCGACGCCCTGACGATTTTCGGCTCCTTCAGCCTCCCGGCGATGGTCTCCGCCTCAATCCCAGACTCGGTGGCTTCGAGCGAATACGCCAAGATCCTCCTGGCGCAATTGGCCATCCCAGCCTCGATCCAACTCATCAGTACCCCGATCCATCTGCTTGGGTTGGACCTCTACAACCGACGCATGGCGATTCCGGCTGCAGACCGAATGGCGCGGGTGAGTCGGGATTGGATCGGGGCGTCGCTGACGCGGATGTGTCGCATCATTCCCGCCTTCGGTATCGGTGGGTTTGCCAATACCGAGGGGCGGGCCTATCTCCATGAGCAACTGCGGCTGTCCGGTGAGGAGTGAAACAATCCCAACCACTTCGGATGGCCTTGTCTATCTCAACCACTAAGCATGCAAAATCCAATCCCTGAGTGACTCAATTGGACAGCCATCATAAGAACCTGGATTGTGACAACCACAAACAAACAATCGGGATTCTGCGACCGAGTTCGGCGATGACTCGGTGAAGAGGGGGAAGTGAGTCGTGTTTCCGGCGCGGGGCGGAGCGGGTGCGCGCGCGCGTGTTTGCCCTTCTTTCCTCAATCAGGTTAAGCGGCACGTGGTCAGGCGGAGATCTGGCCGGGAAACTCACACCGCCCGGCAAACCTCACTCCGCCCTACAAACAAAACAGGTTGCCCGACGCGTGATGCTTCTGGCCCTAACCCTGTCAAACTACTGTAACGGGCAATTATCGAGGCGGTGTCCGCCCCCCACCGCTCACTCCCACTGCCAGCCACCGACCGGGCCGGTGCAGGGCCGGATGAATTGGAACATCAACAAAACTGCCACGCCCTTCTATCCCCGGGATCATTCGACTGCCGGCATTGGGGATGCGAATCAATTGGCGGGGGAGGGGCTGACAAGAACCGTGCTCCGAGATCGGTGATTCTATAACGCGTGCAGCTTCATCAGTGCTCGTCGTCATCTCAAAGGCACGACGATCAGCTACAAATAGAAATATGGACCTCTCCTGTGGCTGTGTTCCCCCGGGTGGCAACGACATGTTGCTGTTTTTAGGCTATGCTGGCATAGTCTACCAGAGTATACTCGCTTGAGGTGACGATCGAACCGTTCGGGATAACCTACTGTTTTTAGTATAGTATTTCCTACTGTTCAAGAATCTATACGGAGTACTTTACTACAAATTCTCGTCACTGTAATAATCGCCGGTAGTGTTGCCTAGGTAGCTGACTGATCCCTGCCCACGTCTCTAACCCGCATGATCCGGATAGCCACCAGATAGCCACAACCATCCGCTGGCTGTAATGCCAGACTCTTGACTCTATGCCGGCAACGCAGCAGAAAATACCTCGGATGGTTGCCGATACCTTGCCGGTGTCAGTCACTCTTCCGATTTGATCCTCCTTCCGGCTCTAAACGAACCGCTACGGCAGATAAGCTGTCTTGCCAGATATGTCCGGGTGACAGGTTTCCTGCTTCAATGCGGTCGAGCCCACATATTCTATTCAGCTTCATTCGACATATAAGGTGCAATACTCCTGTCAAATGGCAGTGATAAGGTGTGCTGGTTCGGACGGCTCGGATGCACTCACCAACGATAACATTACGGCTTGAAATGATTTTGAACAGAGCCTTTTATGTCGGTGCAGATGGACCGGAAGCCCGGACTCATCTCTTCTGTCATGACTTCCATGAGGGATGCAAGACGTGCTGCGGTCCAGAATTTCTTCCCATGTATCATTGAATGCTTACTCTTGCAAGTTCCCTCATGGTTGAGACCACATACTGGTAGTTCGCTGTACCTCTGGTAGATTGCAGCGTGCCTCTAGGCCAGGAGCTCGATTAATCGCGCCGTAGCATCATAATCACCCTCTACTTGTCAACGGTTGGCAAGGCCCTACGCTTACTGACTCACAAACTCCATTACAGTGCCTATCTCATGCCAAGTATTGGAAGATAGTGTTGATTCTCGTCTCTAACATGCACTCAGTAGAGAAATCTGGAGACTACCACACTTTTGAAGACAGCGTAGGAGGATAACTCGGCATCGACTCACTATGCACAGCTCTCGGGCATTGTAAATGTAGCACTTTGTTTCATGTTGTCCTGCGCTCACATTCTATGGGTACTGGTCCCGCTGCACCGCTACAATACTACATCGCATCCCATCGGTCTGCCTGTCTTCACGAAAACTTCCTTTCCAGGTCTGGAGAGAGCACAGCAGATTGACATTTTTCTTTCCATTTCAACATGCAGTTCTTTCATGCCATCCAGCCGCGATGTCAAAGGGGGTACAGGTCCGGATACTATGATGGCGCGATATACCCCCGGGTGTCGCCGAGCATACAATGCATCACTGAGCAGGTCCATTCTGATCCTTTTGGCTAGAATTGCACCAGAAACAAAAGTATCTGGCTTCAGCCATTCTCGTCCATGCGCTCGCGAAATTAGAGGAAATGCTTAATTGTGTAGCCTTCTCTAGGCTAGTTGCAGCCCCTGACTGGTTTTCTGGGGGCTTGAGCATTCCAACTGAAGACCTGCAAGAACGTTCCGGTGCTGGATGGCCCAAGCGGTTGTTTGATCCCTCGTGTCTTTCAGAGGGTATTAGAAGTGCAATCTCAATTCTAGCCATCGTCATGTTATTCTAAACTATGAAGAAATCCTACACGGGCTATAGTCCTTCGCCTCCGTGTAATTGACTCATGTTGCGTAGCACTAATGACTCCATCGCATGGCACCTTTCCACTTCGCTGATGACGCTGGAGCAACCCGTCCCCTACTTGCGAGCGGACATGACATCGAGAAGTTCAAGAGGTGCACTGCTATGACTGGCTCTCAAGCGATTAAGGATAAAGTCTCCTCATAAGACACAATATCTTTAAATGGTTGTGAAATCAATCAATCCGCAAAAGTTCACAGTGCTAACTTTCAAGTCCATCAACGCGCTCACACCGGCTACGAATAGCGTGCGCATCGAGGCTCCCCCCTTGAACAACTACAATGTTCACAGACCCACTGACTCTGGCAAGTCTGGTTACTCACAGGTCGCATAGGAGCAGAATTATCGAATCGTGGTCCCCACGTCTAGGTTCGTGCCAATGGCATACTGTGCACAGCGTGGCGTCCAGAGCCCGGAGAGCTAAAAGCATCATTTGGGGAGCGGCACATACCATAGATTGAACTGCCCCTCATAAAAATGAGATGTGGATGGAGGCAGCGCGGGCAGTGAAGGGTCCTTCCGGGTTGGGACGGAGTATTGTATCCGAGTCATGGGGCCCAACTCTCTGTCCTCGAGTCTCTGTTCACTTCCCTGAGGCGAAGGCTTCAAGCTTCACATTCTCATTTGTTTCTCCCTCCTGGTCCCACACCACCTCCGTTCATCTGCTTCTTACGTCTACTCCACTCGGCTCCGATCACGATCTGGTGGAAGAAGTGGGGGCATCCGGCCCGCTAGCCGTGTCCGAACTCCAAGATCACCTTACGAACGGGTCCCGCTGGACCACTATCAAGGGACCTACTGACGGAATGGACTTATTTAGAGTCAGTATTCTAGCTTCGGTTGAACCACAAAATCCCGGAGAGATACATACAGGTTGATAATCAGTCACAGAAGATGATACGTCAGAGATGCTCCACCCCCGATCTCTTATGTGGTGGTGTTAAGCTTATCGGGCAACCTTTCGGGGATCGGTCGAACGAACTGGATCGCAGATTTCGCCCGAACCGAAATCTTATATAACCTTTGGTTGATTTGACTCTGACAGTGATAGTGAACTATAGTCTCTGAAAACCGACCACAAAAAAAAAGTCCAGGGTCAGAGCCAAACGTATGGAGAGAGAACCTGTGTCTTCGAAAAGTCATTGTCATTACGTGGGGAGAAGTGCCCCTTCTTGATAAACGCTGGTTTGATTGGCTCCGTCAAGGCTGTTCGCGGAAAGTCTCGGCATTACGTAGCGAAATGTCGGTCTGATCCCATGTCTGACGCTATGATGTTCAGGACGAAGGGGGCCCGCCTTTATGGGTATGCATGTGTTGGTGAGGCGACTCACGTGCAAGGAGCTGTGAGACTCGATTGCTTCAGAAGATGAACAAAAAGTCGGTAGTGCCTAACTACCTACTTCGGAATCATGCTTGGCTCCCTCTCGAAGAGATCCGTTTCCTACATCTCCATCATCCAAACCTACATCTCCATCATCCAAAACGCAGCTCTAACTCCATACGCAATGCCACAATGTTTTCTGTAAGGAGCTTATGTCTGAGAATTGAAGGTGATTTTCTTGGCGCTCGTCGAGCGGTGAGCATCTTCCGCATCTCTGTGCTTTTGATGTCGACGGTGGTTCCAAGCGAAGAGGTTCCGTTGACTCAATGGGAATGACCTACGGTACTCCGAAAGAATCGAAACTATGCTGTGTGCCAGGTCTTCTCATTGACTCGCGGTCCCGAGACACCACTTCTGTCACGAGTCCGGCCGTTATGAAATCATTCGTGGTACGAGGAATTCCTGGAAATCCATCATCCACCCGACACAAGAACCCAAAATATGCTTAGGAGGCATGCAGCACCAATGCACGAGGACGACAGACGCAGTGTGTGAAGCGGCCAGAGCCGGAGCAATTCGAAAAGAAGATGCAACAACTGATCAGGATGATGCGACTCTGAAAAGGACGTGGGGAGTGGTGGGAAATGCCGAAGCCAGCCTGGGAGAGGGAAGTACGGAGTACCGTCAGTCAAATGGACTTTTGTCACTCCTCATCGGTAACAACTTGCAGCCCCTGAAGTCAAGGATTCTCGTATAGGTAAGATCTGGCGTCGACGTGTCCAATAAAGAAGTGGAAGCCATGCATCATCGATCAATGTTTCTGCAATCTTTGGGCCACGATAAGCCCTGCTGTATCGACCGCAGCTGATAGGCTCAGTAGGAAGCATGATAACCCCGGCACAACCTGCCGGAAATTGCCTAGCCAGCTGGGCAATGACCAAACGAGGTCGATCTGCAGCGCGTGATTGGTTCAAGGACCTCAATGAGTCCCGTGACTCTGGCCCCGCCTACGCGTCGAACTCCTAAAAGCGGGATAGTCTTGGACGTCACGGGCGGCGGAGTAGGACTTGCCTGATTGGGACGAATGGGCTGGGCCGGGCTTACAGACGGGGATGTACTGGGGGTACTGGGGGTTGTTCAGGGTTGGTACTCCGGAATCTGACCAAACGATGGCGTCGGTATAAGTCTTTCACTCTACCCTCATCCATTCACCCTCTTCCTCTCTCCTCTCTCCCTCTCACAATTCACCCTGCACCCATTTCAAGAACCCAGTCTCATCTGTTTGGTCGTCTCTCAGTATCACCTCAATTCTCCCTCCCCTCCCTCTCTCTCTCACTGCTCTCTTTCCTCTACTCTTGTCAGTCCGGTCGACTCCCATCAATAGATGGCGATCTCGCTTATTCCCCTCCGCCGCCATTCTCACGCATACACCATTGCCCTCTCGCAACCTATTCGCAGACACAGTAGGAATTGAATTGAGAATCCCATTGACCTACGTTCTGTTCTTGATATCTTCTTCATCAACGTCAACGTCATCATGGCAATCGAGGTCCTCCCTCTCACTAAAGCGGATATCCCCGCGGCCGTAGAATGCATCCAGAAAGCATTTGCCGATGATCCATTCTTCCGCTGGGTATTCAACAAGAGATCTGGGGTAAGTATGTCTCCATTCGGAGAAGAGAGGGATTCGAGGCAGCGATGACCCCCCTTCCCCCATCGCTACCGCTTCCCTTTCCCTCCGAATGATGTATGATAAGGATACATGTAGAGCCACGCCCATTTCCCATTCCTACCCAAGACCCATCAATAACACGCGAAACCCCCCCAGTTCAATCTCCACCGCAACGCCGCCTCGATGGCCGCCCATTTCCAATACGGACTCTCCTGCCAAGCGCCCATCTACATCGCCAAAGCGACCTCCCCGACGAGTGCCACCGACGACGACAAGGCCGCCTTGCTCTCGAGCGACAACGACAACGAGAGCAACGGTAACGGAAACGCCATCGCGGGCGTGTGCTGGTGGTTCCCACCGCAACCGGCGGATGAGCCCGTGACGTGGACGGTGTGGGCGCAGGACTGGCTCCTCTCCTTCCGCCAGCTGCTGTTCAACATCCGCTTCGGCGGGCGCGGCGGGCTCAACGTGCGGCGGTACTGGCAGTGGAAGCAGCGGCAGGAGCGCACCCACGCCCGCATCTGGACCGACCCCCGCGGCTACTACTTCTGCAACGTGCTGGCCGTCAACTCGGCCATGCGCGGCATGGGCGTCGGCCGCAAGCTGGTCGAGGCGGTCACCCACAAGGCCGATCTCGAGGGCATGCCCTGCTACCTGGAGAGCTCCAAGGGGTTCCCCAATCTGGTCATCTATGAGAAGTTGGGGTTCGAGTTGGTCGAGGAGATTGAGTGTCTTGATGGGAGGGATGCTTGCAAGGTATGTGCTTTTTTTCTTGGGGGGGGGGGGGGGCTCTGGGTCTTGTGCAGGTAGAGACTAACTTATGCTGTGTAGCTGTATTGTATGATCCGTCAGCCGAAGAAGGCGGATTAAGTGTCTGCAATGGTTGACTTTACCGTACTGGGGTTATTTTCTGGGTCAATTCGGGATAATGAATCAATCGTGTTGCTTGCTAGCTAGCATTACACATGAGCGCTCACCATCACAAATCAGACACCCTACACTTTCTATGAACCTCGTCTCCACTTCCCTCTGCCCCCTCCTCCAGACGGCCTCGTAAAGCTTCAGCCGCCTGCTTCACTTGCACCTGGACCCCAAACTCCGACAAATAGCCTATAGTCCGCGCCTTGAGCTGCCCCAGCTTCTTGTAATCATCCAACCGCACATCCGCCACGCCCTGCTCAACATTGAACCGGAAATAGACCCCGGGACCCGGGTACCGGTAGAACTGGCGCTCCAACTCGTCCGCCACCGCCTCGCAACTCGTCGCCAGGTCCTTCTGCGCGCGGATCGTGTTGAGCGGCAAGGAGGGCGCCACCCACCGCTGCAGCCACCCGGCCTCCGTCACGGGACTGATGGACTTCTTGCCCGTCCCGATGCTCACCACGCAGCCCACGACCCTCTCCGGCGCGAACACCCTCTTCGCCTCGCGCAGCAGCACCCTGGTGGGGTTGTTCGCCCCGAGCGCGCCGTCCACGAACTCTGCTTCGTGGTAGTCATCGTCATCCCGCTTGATGGTCTTCCGCCGGAAGAAGATCGGCGCCGCGGAGGTGGCGCGCGCCGCCTCGCAGATGGTGATCCCCTTCGGAAGGCGGAGCGGCGAGTCGGCTGAATCCGATGCCGACGATGCGCTATTGTCGTCGCGGTCGTCGTAAGAGCGGAAGAGGTACGGTGGGCCGGTGATGTCGGTGGTGTTCTTCGCGCATACGAACCTATACCCTGGCGTTAGAAGGGAGCTGGGGCAGGCAGATCGAAACCTACACTTTACACCCACCGCCGCTCTCCTCGAGCAACATCTCCTCCGACCCCAGCGCGATCCCCTCATCTCCATCCCTTCCAGCTTGGACGTCAGTAGGAGTAGGAGTAGACGCATACCGCCCCACCAGCCCCGCAATCGCGGCCTCGAGTCTCGTCGCCTTGAACCGCCCATCCTGCCACGGCCACTTCCGTGCCTCGGCCCCGAAGATCACCTCCGACAGCGCCATGTACTCGTCGATGGACTCCTGGACCGAAAGCCGCAGTCGGCCCAGGAGGATGGCGATCAGTCCGCCGGTACTGGTGCCCGCAATCATGTCGAAGACGTCGCAGGGTTTCGGGGTGGTGGGTAGGGCGGATTGGTGCTGCAGGTCGAGCATCAGTTGCTGGAGGATGTAGAGGGAGCTGAGGCCGCGGACGCCGCCGCCGTCTTTTCGTGGCATGGTGGAAGTGTTAGTTGGGGGTGTTTTGGGGGGTGGAGGTTTGGGTAGGTAGGGTTGGGCTTACCGAGGGAGAGGAGATGGAGGGGTTTGGTGGGTTCTTCGGTGGGCATTGGATCGTACTGCACTTTTACATGTGGGTTGAATATACCTGAGCGCTATAATGGTTTCTATTGAGCGTTGGACGAAGATCATTCTTATACTTATAGCAATCATAAAGGAGGGTTGATGGGTGATGAGGCTGAAGTATAAGCGCTGAGCTTGGCGCCGGGGGTGGGGTTGAGTTTGAGATTATTTTTTGGTAGGCCAGCCACTTCCATCTGTTTTTGAGTCCCATTGTACTTTCATGATGAGCGCTTCCCAATTCGATCAAGATGAGTTATTGTGGTTATGCTGATCACTGGATCTGGCTGTTAAGACAAGGGTATAAGCGCGCTGTTGCACGCACTAGGTACTCTGTGGCTCCGTGGGGTGCCAAGAAAACGTTTGTAAGTTTAGCTTCAACTGACTATATCTCCGAGGGAGAAGGTCAGTCAATCAATCAAGATGTAAATTATGGAAACCTCAATAGAGCCGCTGAGCGATTCTACACAATCAACCAGGTAAAAACACGTGAACGGTCAAGCCCTGCGGATCGGACCGACAGCGGAGTCGGAAGATGACCGCTGATAAGCATGGGTCGATGAGATGATAACGTTAACGCATGAGTCGATATGAGCCATATGTTTTTGTCCATTCTGAGTATAGATAGGACTTCTTAGTGTAAGCTTACTGCTTTAGTTCCAATGCTTGGCCAATGGTACCTACTTGACAGGCAATGTTATATCCCAGCTAGACTAAGCTGGCTAGTAAATTGCTTCTGACAAGACTATGAGATATGGCGTGAACACTGAATTTAGCCTCGTCTGGCGATAAATATCTCACTTTCATAAGTATCCCACGTTTCCACTGCTTACTTCGATCTCTACCAACATTTCTTTCTCAAACGTAATCACATCTTCTCCATCATCGCTTGTTCGTCAAGCAAAGAAACATAACTATCCCAACCCAATCCCTTCGTCAAGCACATCTTCGGACATGAGCACCGCCGACAGCTACCTCCCTCCGGCGCTGAGCGCGGAAAGCATCACCGCATTGATCCTCTCCCTCTCCCTCCCCACCCCCACCAGCATCACCCCCCTCGAAGTAAGAGCCGCTTTTCACTCGATCTATCTCATCACCTTCGCCGCATCACCCACCACGAAGATCCCCGCCCGCCCCAACCCCGACGGCAGCACGACGCTCGTCCTCCGCGTCTCCGGACGCCAACTCCCGCGCATCAAGACCCTCAACGAAGTGGGCGTCATGACCTGGGTCCGGACACACACCTCCATCCCCGTGCCCGCCATCCTCCACCACGACGCCACCGAGACCAACCCGATCGGCCACGAGTTCACTCTCCTCGAAAAAGCCCCCGGCGTCAGCCTCGACACGATCTACCCGACCCTATCCGAGGCGCCCAAAACGCACCTGGTCCGCCAGCTCGCCGACTACCTCATCGAACTGCACACCCACCCCTGGACGGACGGATACGTGGGGGGTCTCACCCTCTCCGCGTCCGGCGAAGTCGCGCAGGGCCCGCCCATCGACGAAACCTACTGGCAGATGCCCGACCTGGAGAAATACTGGTCTTCATCCACTGTCCCTGTAACGAGTCTGGAGACCCTCAACCCCACCCCGCCCGACGGGTTCACGGACTACGTGGCCTTCACCGTCGGCTGTCTGGACCGGTACCTCCACGCCATCGACATCCACCCCGCCCTGGAACCCTACCGGGATCTGGTCCGCCGCGTCCGCGCCTTCAGGGAGGCGATACAGCGGCCCGAGAATGCGGCCCGGCTGAACGAGGTCCCGTATGTGCTCGCGCACAAGGACCTGCACTGCGCGAATATCATGTGCGATCCGACGCAGCCGGGGTGTCCGATCACCGCGGTGCTGGACTGGGAGTTCAGCGGGGTGGTGGCGGCGCCGCGGTGGAATCCGGTGCGGGCGTTTCTGTGGAATGGGCGGGAGGGGGAGGAGAATAAGGCGGAGCGGAACCGGTTGGAGGCGGTGTTTGAGGAGGTGGTGAGGCGGGAGAAGGGGGCGGAGTGGGTGCTGGCGGAGATGAAGTGGCGGAGTCCGTTGCAGGAGGAGGTCCAGAAGGTCGTGAATCACCTGCGCGCGATCGTCGAGGTGGTTCCCCGGGGGCAGGCGGGGGAGAGAGCTGGGCTGTGGAGGACGGTTGTGGAGGAGGGAATGAGTTGTGTGGATGGTGGGATGGTGGACTAGTAGATGCTGCCATACCCGCCCGGCTATCTACTTTACCCGTTCTGTACTATAAATCTTTCCCCTCTACATCACCACACCACATGCCACCTCCAACAGCTTCGCACTTCTTCAGCGGTAACTTATCTATCTCTCTTACTCGATCTTCATCCTCCCGAAAAATGACCACCCCCCAAACCTACCACATCTTCGGCCAAACCCTCGCCACCAGCCTCTCCCCGACCCTCCACAACGCCGCCTTCGCCCACCACCGCCTCCCCCACCACTACACCATCCAAGAATGCCCCTCCCTCGCCGCCGTGCAACACCTGATCAATGCCCCCACCTTTGGCGGCGCCAGCGTCACCATGCCGCACAAGCTGGCCGCCTTCCCGCTGTGCGATGCAGTCAGCGACGCCGCGCGACAGATCGGGGCGATCAACACCCTGATCGCGGAGACGCGGGACGGGAAACGTGTAATCACCGGCGACAATACCGACTGGCGGGGGCTGTACGAGCTCGTGGTGGAGTATCTCGCTGGTTGTCTCAGTTCCAGTCGCGACGATGAAGTCGGAGCCGGTGGTGGTCCCGCCACTTCGCTCAATCCGGGCCTCACCTCCAGAAAAACAGGCCTCGTCCTCGGGGCGGGCGGTGCAGCCCGCGCCGCAGTCTACGCTCTCCTGCAGGCGAACTTCGCCCGGATTGTGGTCGCCAACCGGACGGTCGATAAGGCGGGCACGATTGTTCGGGATTTCGAGGGGTTAGCGGGGCCCAATGGAGCAACATGCGAGCTGGTGGCCGTGGAGTACCCGATTCCTGCGGTGGAAAGGGTGAGACCGGATGTCGTGATCGGGACGGTGCCGGGGGATGTGGTCGTGGAGGCGGATGTAGAGGGGCTGTTCGCGGGACAGGAGCACGAGCACGGGCACGGCTTGGTGGTGGAGATGGCGTACAAGCCCCGGGTGACGGGGTTGATGCGCGCGGGGCAGCAGGCCGGCTGGGAGGTGCAGGATGGGCTGGAGGTGTTGTTGAGGCAGGGGTTTGTGCAGTATTCCCTGTGGACGGGGAGGGAGGCCCCTGTGGAGGTGATGCGGGGGAGTATTGAAGGTATTGGGAGTATTGCGGGGAGGGTATAGAGGTATGCATACTTTAGAAAGGAATCAAACCCGAATAAAATGTACAGTACACCGCACTAAACCTCCAGGGGAAGATCCTACAAGCCCAACCCCTCCACCAACAGCTCTCACGCCCTCATCCGCCTCCGCCATCGAGCGCGAGAACAGCTCCATCGACAACCACCCTTCAAACTTGAGTTCTTTCAAAAACGCCCTCGCCCCCTCCACAACAGGCAGATATACCCGCCCTTCTCCTGCTCAAACAAGAACAATCTCGCATTCCGACTCCAGCTCATCCTCGCCGGCTGACCCTCCAGGCGCGGCCGACGGACATGGACGCGATGGCGGGGATGCAGGGCATGGTGGCTGGTTGTGGGATTTTAGTTGAAAATGGTAGGTTGGAGTGATTCGTGCGGTCAATGGGACCCAGATGGGATTGAATACTCGGGGACTATATACGTCGACGACTTCTTACCCATCTCACCACCACGGCTATATCCACGCCCGATCAGCATCAAAAATTGATAGCCGGACTCTCCTCCGCCGCCCGCCGCAGCACCGCCCACGCCTCCTCCACCGGGAGATCGCGGCTCGCCTCCTCCCCGCACCACAGCCGGTACTGCTCGTGGATCTGATGGCCGATGATCTCCGTCCCCTCCACCGTCGTCCACCCATGCCGTTCCGCCGCCTTCAGGAACCGCGTCCGCCGCGGCTTGAAGCACATATCCAGCAGCACGCCTTTCCCGTTGGTTTCTACGGACGTAGAGGCAGATGCCGGGGCAGAAGCCAGGAACGCCTCCACAATCGCATGCACCTCGACTTCCTCCGGGGCAGTCGGCTCCGCATCCGGCACCGTGCCAACCACATAGAACGGCCGCTCCGGCAGCGCAGCCACCTGCTCCACCTGCGTCACATGCACGAGCCCCAATCTCCCGCTGTACACCCTGTGACACTCGTCCACGAGCTCCCTCACCTCACCTGCATCCCGGTTGACGATGTAAATCGTGGGGCATTTCAACTCGGCGTGGAGCGCATACACCGCCGCGCGAGCAGCGCCACCCGCCCCGATGATCGCCGCCGGCTTCCCCCTGCCGGACGCGCTGGCCCCCTCCAGGCAGCCCAGGACCCCGCGCCAGTCGGTGTTCGTGCCGCGGAGGGCGCCGTCCGCGGTGCGGTAGACGTTGTTGCACGCGCCCAACGTCACGGCGGGCTCGTCCAGCCCGTCCAGGTGCGCCATGATCGTCCGCTTGTAGGGCATGGTGACCACGGCGCCGCCGCTGAAGGTCGGCGCCCGGAACAGCGCCATCGCTTCTTCCACGGTGGCGCACTCGCGGGCGTAGAAGTGCCAGTCCGAGTGGCCCAGGGCGCGGAAGATGTGGTTGTGCATAGGAGGCGCGATGGAGTGGGTTACGCCTATGCCCACGAGGTAGGAGAATTTGTCGGGCGAGGGTTGAGGTGGGGGGTCCATTTTTGGTGTGTGATGGGAGCGAGGATGGGAAGATAAATTGAGGGTGAGGATTGATGATAGTTTAGTAATTTTCGTGGTGGGTTCGTTGGATGTGGTATGTATTGTCAGTGGCAGGCTTAAATGGCTCTCGTCTCGGGGATGAGTATACCCGCACACGGGAAGAGTCTCTCCCGATGGCCAGCGACGGCATGGGGGATTTGCGAACCTTAAAAACGTCTACTGCACCCCACGGCGTTCCCCGCACTCTCTTCATGCATACAAAGTCCCAGAATCTGTTACATCAGAATCGAGCGCCGGTTGCAATACACATACCCTCAATGCCAGATTTACACTCCCTCCCCGCCGGTTCGCGCCCGGAACATGCCATCCGCAACAACGGGCCCCGCGACCTCGCCCTGGAGCGATACATGCTCCGCGAGCTCGCCGAGGGCTGGCCCTGCTACCGCGACGCCTGCGAGTGGGAGAACCTGCGCTCCATCTTCCACCCGGACGCCCACATCTACACGACCTGGACGGGGCTGACCCACCACCGGGCCTTCATCGAGGCCTCGCAGGCCGGCATGGACAACGGCGCCTTCATCATGCACCGCATCCACGGCAGCACCACCGACATCGACCCCGCGGCTACCCGCGCCGTCACCAAGATGAAGGCGACGATCACGCAGCGCTTCGCCGGGCTGCCCTGCCACGCCGGCGGCGTGTGTGAGGCCGACGCCGAGAGTGACTGCCGCTTTATCTTCTTCTGGCAAAAGGTGCAGGCTGACGACCCCGACCACCCGGAGTTGGGCGGCCAGTGGCGCGCCGTCTTTGTCCGGCATTGGTACGAGAAGGATAAACTGGTCCCCGTGACCCCGGATCGGGTGCCGGTGTTGGATCACGAGCGGCTGCGCGCGTACCCGCCGGGTTATCGTCATTTGGCGTATCTGCAGGAGCAGACGATGGGGGTGAAGGTGCTGCTCGATCTGCCGGGCCATCGCAGGGAAGGGGACAGTGTGAATGGGCAGAAGCATGATTTGTTGTATTGGCAGGCCAAGGAGTGGCTGGATGGGAAGGAGATGAGTTGGGTGTGATTGTTTTGCCCGGAGCTTGTATCGCCTTTTTGGTCTGACTCATCGTTGTACTGGATAAAGCGATACTTAGGAATCAATGATCGCAAATGAATGACTGCTCTCTGCCAGTTACTCTGCCCCTCAAGTATCCTCGGGTATATACTGAAGCTGCTCGAGGAAGTCTGTGTCCATGTTGCCCGCATAGAAGCCCAGGTTTTCCGCGAATGTGGGTTCGTGTCTAACAGATTTGTTAGTGGTCGAACAATACAGCGTGGTTGCAGAAGACATACCTGCTGGCTGGGATCGACGTCATGATCTCTTCGAACAATGCATCAAAGTCCTCGGTTTCCTGTGTCTGCACTGGTTGGGTCGCCAAAGCTCCAGAAACATTCCAAGCGGACGTCGGAATCTGGGGTATGACTGGTGCAACCACCATATCACGACGTTCTACTGCTGAGCCTGGCACTTGCCAGGCGGGCGTATCGAGAGGAGGAACAGACGAAATGCTTGTTACTCGGTGTCTGAACAGTGGTACCTCCGAGTCCTGGCGGGCGCCGCCAGCGACATCTTCGAGCTTCAGCATGTCCACATGACGAGAAACTCGATCTTTCAGCTGTTCCGCTTCGTCACTTCCAAAGCATCGGGATGAGGTCTCTAAAGACTTTCTGGCCTGGGATGTGAAGCAACGAAGCAGTGGAGTTGAGCTGGCATTGTCGGTAATCTCCACGTAGTCATCAAGCAGGTTGACCATCGTGCGCACGTTCCGAGCCGTCTCTGAGGCTGCGGAAGCATCCTCCAGCTTGCCCTGCTCGACCAGGTGTAACAAGGCGAAAGATGAAGTGAGATGAAGGATCAATAGAGGGGGCGTAGCATATTCCCGGCCCTTGTATGGGTGTTGCTCGGATATCTGCTTCTGTAAGCGTTGCAAGTCTACAAAGACCTCATGTGCAGAGATGACGCCCGAGGTGCACAGCGGCAGGCGATTGAGGATCCGCATGAACTTGTGGATCATGTTGAAAGTGCTTAGAGCACGAAGAGGGCTCTTCGAATTGAATCGCGTTTCCGAACCCCGGACTCGTCTCGTCATGGTCCAAGTGTCCCATTCATCCACGTCATCCTCGTCAACCTGTGCACAGACCTGGTGTTCTGGTCCGAGTGAAGCTGGTGATTTGTGGACCAGAGCCGATATGATCCCGTCAAGAAAGGTACAGCCAACAAAAGCATGCTTGGAACGGTGATTCCGCGCTGGCGCGGGCAAGACGGCGAGTAATCGGGTCGCGTGTCCGACAAGCACCCATGCCGGATCGAGATCTCCCCGGTCAAGATGACAGAGGACGAGGATGAGGAGGGCTTGGATATGGCTCAGTTCTGTTTTCTCATAGTTCCCGATGAGTCGCACTTGAATCGACTGCTGTATTTTCGAGCGGAGCGATCGGGTCATGGTAGATGTGTAGGCAATAATGGCCCAGAGCACGAGACGACACGCAGAGTCTCTTGGTGAGCCCGAGTGGGTATGCATAACGCGCAGGATGTCTCTGCGTTCGACTATCGGAAACCAGCAATGGGTGTGAAGGAAGTAGGAATCCACCAACTCGGGTGTGTTATCTGGAAGTGGCAGATCCAGTAATATCGGAGCATGTTGTGGTGGAGTGTCTTCCCGCTGTTGTTCTTCTCTCCTTTCCATCTCCATCTGCTCTCCTTCTTCTCCTTCACCCAAGCAGTTCTCCACCAGATCCTCTCCCAGCCCGTCATCATCCAAGTCAATGTCGCCTGCATCATCTCCAGCCTCTGCTTGACTCAAGTAAATAACCTCTTTGGCGAGCTTTGACCTCCTCCAACGGTCGGCCAACTCACTGCAAGCGAGACGCTTACCCTCCCGAGCACCTCGGACGATACGCTGCAGCGTGCTCTCACTATTAGGAACCCGGTCGAGGATAATCCCGAGCGCGACCTCCAAGCTCCTCACATATCCCGATTGCAACCCTCTTCGTCGACTGCTATTTTGATACGTGCACGTCCGGTTTGCCGCCTGACAGATGGAGCACACGGGCTGCTCGCCGCCGCACTTGGACTTCCGACGCCGACATTGGTCACACGCCCGGCCAATGCGCTTTCTCTTCGACAATCTGGGATTTGGCATGACATAGAAACCCACAGACTGCAATGCATGAACCTGACAGACAGCATTGTGCACCCAGATGTCTCGTCTGATTCGGATCCCGGGACGTCATGTGATCGGTTAGGACTTTAAGCGATGGCAAATTTCGGTGATTCCAACTTCACTGACAGACAGATTGAGATCACGATATACTATCTGTTTGTCCCAACTACTAAAGTCCAATGTCTGAGTATCATCGCGCACCCTCCTAGCCGACGATGGCACCAGGAATCTCTCCTCCCTACTCCCCACCACATTCCGGGAGTGTGACCTCCACCAGGCGGTACAGTCCCGATGCAACACTCGTACTGGTCGGATTTGTCGGGGCGGGCAAGAAGACGCTGGGGATCATCGCCTCTGTCGCACTCCGCCGTCGCTTTATTGACTTTGATACCGTGTTCCGTCAAGAAACACAGACTTCGCCTCAGGAGTACATCGCACAGCATGGTTCTACGCGATACCGTGAATTAGAATTGAAGCTGACTCAACGACTCCTGGAACAACATCATGTCGGCTGTGTGATTGTTGGTTTGGGATGGCTGGCCACCCGCCAACAGCAAGAGCTACTAAGCACGTTCGCCCAGGAGCACCCTGTCGTATATGTCAGGAGAGATCGGTCGGATCTGCAACGAACTCTTAACGTCGATCAGGAAAAGTTCCATCATCTTTTTGCAGTGGGGAACGCATTCTTCGAGGCTTGCTCCAACTTTGACTTCTACAATCTGACCCAAAGTACGGCAGGTGGTGATGGCATTCCAGAAGCTGTTCATATGCGACTTAGAAAGGCCGGAAGAGTTTTCATTGCCTTCCTCGAACGCATTTACGGTCGAGCCACCTGCAGCGTGTACTCAGCCAACCCATTTATCGAGGGTTTTACACATGCTTTGCAAATTCCTATTAGCTGGCTAGAGGAATCTTACCCGGACCATGCACAGCTGGACTGTGGGGCAGATGCCTTAGCCATCTTAATCGACGTTTATTCCCGACACAGAACCACGGAGCTAGCCGAGAGCTTATCACAGCACATGGCTACTGTCCGAATGTATGCCAGAGTTCCGGTTCTCGTGGAGATCGCAGATGCAAATCAACTTGAGCCTGTGGAGTATCACAACCTCCTGAAACAACTTCTCAGACTAGTACCAGATGCTCTCGCATGCTCTCTTGGCAGTTCTCCGGAACATCTGCAAACTATAATCGACACGAAAGGCTACGTCAAGGCAATTGCTACCTATCACATATCGGGCCCATTGTCATTGCAGAGGTCAACAGGTGTTTCTTCGGAACTCAAGAAAGCTGAAGAGTTTGGCTTCGACGTTCTACGAATCACTGGGGAGTCAACAGTTGAGATTGATAACCTGGCTTGTATCGCACTACGTCAAAGTCTAGCCAACGTGACTAAAATTCCGATAATTGCCTACCACAAGGGAAATCTAGGCAGGGCGAGTGTTCACTTGAACCCAATTCTATCACCCGTGATGCTCCCTCACATGCAAAGCGAGGGAAGCTCGCTGCAGTCCGCCGAACAGGCTCTCACAACTTGTAATTTGAGGCCCAGAAAGCTGTTCACGATATTTGGCCAAAACGTGGCGCAAAGCCTCTCTCCAGCAATGCATAATGCCGCCTATGCTGCTTGTGGTCTGCCACATCAGTATGGCAGCGTGCAGTCTGGAGTCTTCGATGAGGTTATCCATCTTTTCGCCGATGCCAACCATGGTGGTGTCGCAATCTCACTACCGTACAAAACCGAAGTGCTTCCTCATTTGGATGAAATAAGCCGAGAGGCAAGGGACATTCACGCTGTGAATACTGTGGTCCTGGAACAGAGCGTCTCAGAGACTGGGCAGCCCAGCAGAAAGCTCAAAGGATACAATACAGACTATATTGGTATCATGGCTGGAATCGACAAGAACCTGTCACCAGCCAATGCCATTCGTGCCGGTACATCGGCCTTGATTATTGGGGCCGGCGGTATGGCCCGTGCCGCGATCTATGCTTGCCTGCAGCTGGGTGTGCAGCATATCTGCCTTTACAACAGGACAGCTTCTAACGCAGAGAAGCTTGCGGAGTATTATCGTGACTGGGCTGCGTTGTCGGAGTCGGCTACTGGCCTTCGTATGGGGGTTTTATGTTCGGCGAATGAGCCTTGGCCCCGACATCTGCGACAGCCTACCATCGTCGTGTCTTGCTTACCTGCTCTTGAGATTGGCAGTCAATCACCCGTAACTCTGCAGTTACCTGAGCAGTGGCTCCAGAGTAGCACGGGCGGAGTCTTTGTGGATGTAAGTTGTTCTTGCCTCCTTGCAGACACAAACTAATGCAAAACAGGTTTCGTACGGGAAGCATCAAACGGTGGTACGGACATCAATGAACGACAGGGCCTCGAAAGGATGGGTGGTCGTTGATGGCTTAGTGGTTCTGCTGGAACAGGGCGTCGCTCAGTATGAGCTTTTCACCAAACGACCGGCACCGGTACATGTTATGAGGCGCACCATACAACAACAGTCACAAGGTCTCTATCCAACTTCGCCCAGAGTTTCGACTTGAGGCTTGTATATACACTTCCAATGATGATGCAATGATCCCTGTTTCCCAGACCTGCACCACAGACATTCTATGCATCCGATGCAGCCCTCGTCGATGACATCGACTAGTCTACCGCAATAGCGTCCACCTCGATCTCGACCAGCATGTCGGGGTCGATGAACCCATTGTGCACCACAATCATGGTCGCAGCTGCTCCAATCGGCGTGTCGCTACTGCTAGCATTTTCCTTGCCCAGAATCTCCTTGAATCCCTCCCCCACGGCGCGACAGTCCTCCCGCCGACTAACGAACATCTTCACACGCACGATGTCTTCGGGACCGCGTCCCCCCATGGCTTTGACGGCTTTGATGCATTCCTGTAGCGCCACGCGCGTCTGTTGCTTTGCGTCGTCGGGGAAAAGAATCTGCGGGATGCTTGTGGTGGGGTCGACGGAGGTTGTGCCGGAGACGAAGATGTGTTGGCCGTGGCGGACGGCGCGATAGTAGCCGATGAGGCCCTCGAAGGGGGAGTCTGTGGCGTAGCACTGCTTCGACATTTGTGTATGACTTGGTGGGAGAGAGAGTAGGTGAGAGGTGAGAGGTGAGTGGTGAGTGGTGAATGTGGGTGACAGTGGGTTGACGAGAGAGAAAGAAGTAAACAGGATCTTGCACGGCAATATCTTACAACATATATAAACAGCTGAACATGAGATACAAGTACTTGCTGTCTCTACAAGACATTTATACACCCTATGACTCATTCACAGCGAGCACTGACCCTATCTCCTCTTGGCGGGACAACTGGCCAGCCTCATGAATCGGATAGGATGCAATCCAGAGCCAAACGCTACTTCTCTCACCTCAACACGAGGTCAACAAGCTATATACAAAATTCCAATCCCAAAACCCTGGTTGCAAGCAACCCGATTAATCCTTCAATCCCCCGCTCTGCTCTCCAGCCGGATCCCTCCTCTCCCGCATCATCATCACCCACCGCTGCCGCTCGCTCCGGCCCCCCAGCTCCGCGAAATCCAACTCCAACACCTCCAGATCCCGCCACCCATACTTCCGATAAACGGGGTACCCTTCCTCCGTCGCCTCCAGATACACCCGCGCATTCCGCGCATCCGCTCGCTCCAACCCCCACCGCAGCAACCCCGACGCCACGCCTTGGCCTTGTGCTTCGGGCAGCGTCGCCAGGAATTCGAGAACTGCCCCCTCCCCCTTATCATTAGCGTGATCCCTCCCCCCCACCTTACTGACAACAACAACAATACCAAGAAGAAGAAAAAGGAGGAGGATGAGGCAACACCAAGGAAGAAGATGGGGGGAAAACGCACCGAAATCCCCCTCCCGCAGATACTTCGCCTTCAAGCGCTCCAATTCCCCCCAGAACCGGGAGTGGACGGCCAGGTTGGTGCCGGGGGGGAGGGCCCCGACCCCGTCCCCGTCCCCGGCCCGTCGGAAGGCGGTGACGAGGTCCTGGTTTGCGGGGGAGAGTGCAATTGCACCGGAGCTGGCGGGGGCGGGGGCGCGGGGGCCGGGGACCGTCCAGCGCGCGTAGCCGACCACCGCGCCGGTGGCGGGATCCTCGGCGACGAGGAGGTGGGAGGCGCCGTCGGCGAGCTTGGTCAGGGTGCGGGCGAGCTTGAGCGGGTAGGTGGCCCGGCGGTCGAGGGCGGGGAACAGGTTGCGCCAGAACGGGGTGGGCTCGAAGGCGGTGATGTTGATGTGGGCGAGGTGCGGGGCGTCGGGTTCGGTGGCGCGGCGGATGGTGTATGTTTTTGGGGGGGGCATTTTGGTGGTTGTGGTTGGTGGTGTTGTTGTGAGGAATGAGTTATATGATGAAAACTCAGGGTTAGGGACGGTGCAATCTTATAGTAAGTAATCTACGGGTGGAAGGGCAAGCGGAGGCGGGGACGCAAGAAGGAAATTAGTGGGGTTTATGTGCAAGGGCAAATCCATTTTCCATACGGGGGGGGGGGGCTATATGGTGGGAGTGATAAGCGTGGATCGAACTTCGTAAGGCGTGGTTTGCGTGTGTCTGGGCCCAGAAGCATTCCTTAGATTGAGTCATGTAATAAGACGATGATTGGATACATGTGGACACTTGGATGGATGGGGACTAGACCTGTGGGGATTGACAGGCTGTCGGTGAATACGCACTCCAGTCGGACAAGTCAGACACACGAACAGGGAGAAAACTACTACAGTAATGTCTCAAGAACAATGTAAGAACCTGTTGGAGTCTAACGAATGTAAAACAGTGGAATAAAATACATCAGAACATGCGGGATGCCCCTCCCTTTGTACTAAATGAGTGAGTGGTATCGAGTATGTGATACAACGAGTGACAGAACTTTCGGTGAACATATTCAGGGGGAAGCGTGAAATAGAGACATGATGTTTTTAAGAGAATGGTGGGCCGGACCCTTACAGGATCAAGGCCAGGAGAGCCACAAGACCAGAGAAGACCGAAAAGACGCCAGCGTAAGGTGCGGCCTGGGGTGCTGCAGCCCCGGTGAACAGAACACCGGTTGATGATGCCGACGGTGCAGCCGGGGGTAAGTTGTAGCGGAGAGTGGGTTCATAGGCATCGACGCCCGTGGAGTGGCGACTAACAACGCTCGTAACCGCGGTGGGGACGGCGAATGACGAGGGAGTGGTGGCAGAGGACTGTGCCACGTACACGGGGATCACGTGGAAAGTGGAATCTTGTTGAATCGTGATGCTGGACGCTATCTTGTCCATGACAACCGGCTCCGTGCAGGTCGGAGCGGCAGTCGTCATCGCACTCTGCACAACACTCGTCGCGGACGGCTCAGAGCCAGGAACGTGGTGAGCTTCATCCAGGTTGGGAGTGAAGGGGTTGGTTGGGGCCGCGGCCTCGTGGGTGGGGTTAGACTGCGCAGCAGACTTGGTAGGCTCACTCGGGGCGGGGGCGGAGTGAGTAGGTGCAGGAGCTTCAGTGGCCACAGCGTCAACCTTGGGGGCTACTGTGGATTCGGTGGGAAGGGTGCGTGTCACCGTACGAACGACCTCTTGAACAGTAGGTTCGCACGATGTCGAAGCCTTGGCCTCGGGCTGCTTGGGAGGGTCATCCGCATGGGGCTCTGCCTTAGGTTCCTCCGGTTTGGTCTCCTCATGTGCTGGCTCCGGAGCAGGCGCGGGAGCAGGCTCAGGATCGTGCTTGGGCTCGGGAGCAGGGGCCGGATCCTCGTGCTTCGGTTCCGGAGCAGGTGCAGGAGTGTCATGCTTCGGCTCTGGAGCTGGCTCGGGGTCGTGCTTGGGCTCGGGAGCAGGGGCTGGATCCTCATGCTTCGGTTCCGGAGCAGGTGCAGGAGTGTCATGCTTCGGCTCTGGAGCCGGCTCGGGGTCGTGCTTGGGTTCTGGCGCAGGCGCCGGGGCTTCATGCTTGGGCTCCGGGACTGGCTCAGGAGCTGGCTCAGGTGCAGGCGCGGGAGCAGG